TCAAGATCCGGGGTAGGACGGGACTCGCCCCTAAAATGTACGAGAATATGCACCTTACGAAGAAAGTGTTATCCCTAATATAACATTGGTTACACATTTCCTGATATTGTGAAACAAACAATTACATTAAGCACATGAAGTTATGAGCTGTGAAGATCAGCCATAAGTCTACCTGGTACAGACTAGGTTGTATACAGACTCCTGTAGACCCATCAAGATCCGGGGTAGGACGGGACTCGCCCCTAAAATGTACGAGAATATGCACCTTACGAAGAAAGTGTTATCCCTAATATAACATTGGTTACACATTTCCTGATATTGTGAAACAAATAATTACATTAAGCACATGAAGTTATGAGCTGTGAAGATCAGCCATAAGTCTACCTGGTACAGACTAGGTTGTATACAGACTCCCGTAGACCCATGAAGATCTGGGGTAGAATAGGTCTTCAGCAACCCATCCTTGTCGTAAAAGGCGACTATGCTTGTCGTAAGAGGCGACTAACGGGATTGGGCGGTCAGGCTCGCTGACTTGGTTGATGCATGTCATTGATCTCAATTGCGTGGATCAATGCTTATGATGTCAATCACTGGATTGTCTGGTCCAGACTCAATTATTTACAGACCGCCATCATATAGCTGGAATATTGCTAAATGCAGCATTAAACAACAAACAAACAAAACAGGCTGCTGTGATATGGCTGTAACACTTCACTGTGGTGTTAACCAACATTCATAAGAATACTGCCGACAGTCATCTTTATATTCTGTATTAATGTTGATGTAAGACTGATTGAAAATGAGGTTTGAATAAGGATTCCAGATAAAAAAACAACAGTGGTAATTTTTATATATAGGGGGCCACCATATTGTTTTTTAAAAACAGTGCTGTTTGTGTTGTACATGTATTTACGTTTTAATTTTTAAAAATTATTATCATTTATTGCCAATCGAAGTTGTAGTAGTGCACTGTAAATCGTACAAACTTTTCTTACAGGATAATCTGTAGACTCTAGTACTCAAGAACTAAAAAACTGATATCAAATGAGAAACGGATGAGGGCAGGTTGCTATATGATATGATAATGGCCAATGGGAAAATAAGGAAATAAATAATAAACGTCATTCAAGATCTTGTGGCGTTTCTGTTATCGATAATGGTAGTCTTTAGGTCAGGTATTTATTTTGGTCTTTGTATGACTTCAGGCCTCATGTCTACACTCCTTTTTGGTCGCCTATCAGTCAAGTAAGGCAAAATTACCCCCAACACTTTCTTTTTACAAATGTGAAAAGGTAAATGAATGTAAACAGGCAAACTATTTAAAAAAGAAATAAAATAACTAAAAAATAATTTGATTCATTTTAGATACCAGAATTCTGAATTGGTTTTCTGTGAACATCTGACATATCTGATACTTCATGGTAATGTACATTGTTACTGATGTGGTCAGTATTCCCCAGAGTTCTATAAGACACAAACCTCAGGTGAGAGCTGTTATTTACAGTGAGAGAAGTGTAGTGCTCACAGAGATTGTGGGAGATTGGTGATGATGGAAATAGGTCTTTGATGAACCAGTGCCAGCTGATGGCCATATGATTCGGTCATATAGAAAGGCCAAGGGTCAATTGAAGCATTATGGGAAGGTGGAGTAGGTTGGCATAACATCTCCAGCTCATCAAAGTGATGATGGGTAGATACAAGAGGAGATTGCAGGTCATCGGGGCAGGCGCTTGACCTGGGGGTGGGGTGAGCAAAGGTGGGGGGGCAGTGGAGGGGAGAACAATAGGACCAGGGGGATTTGTTTAATGCAGATGTAATGTGTCTGTTATTAGCTTCTGTTTGGCTGTTCTGATGTATTCAGATATGTGTCTCTTTTCCAAAATTAATGGCACCATGTACATAGTAATTAATCAGTAGATAAAATAAATCTTTATCTAGTCAGTATTTATGAGGTAAAATGACCATAAAATAGAATGAAAGATAACATAAATATTTGTAAAACAAAATCATCACTATCATTTTGTCTTTATCACACAAATTGGGTGATTAATAAAATAAGATTGCAAAGATAGTACTTAAAAGAATTGAGGGTGTATTTAAAGTACCGTATTTGTCGTAATAAGCGTCCTCGGTAATATTTGCTGATATATTGGCTAGTGAACAATCCCAATTAGCACCCCTTGCGATTGATCAATCTACACAAGACTTATTTATTCGTGTAATATATGTGTGTTATATGCATCGTTAATTATGGGAAATTAAATTCTGAAATGCATCTGTCGTATATAAACATATCAGGCTGTCAGCACAAACCACAAAATTTACAATCGTTCAACTCTGTTGTTTTTTCACCAAAATAATATTCTAATAAGAGCCCCCTATTTCTAATTTTGAGAGCACTCTGGGCGCTTATTATGTCAAATACGGTATAATATAGCTGTAGTATAAATGTCTATTTATGTTGAAATGACAAGAGATTAAGATCCAATTCATTGTGAAGTAAAAATCAACTCAAAATGAACTTTATAACAAAACATTTTTGATTGAATACAATGAAAGAACCTTTAAGCCTTTACCACCGATCACATTAGTGAACCTAGACTTGCCTTATTATAGATTCCATACGTCTTGTGGAATGACACACACTCATGAGTGTGTGAAAAAAACAAGGGTCAATTGGTACTTCTAGGACACGTTGAATAAGGTTCAAACATAATTAATTAATATATGCTGCATGAGAATATTATGAAGGTTTACCCTGTATAAATTAAGTAGATGAAAATTATAGCTTATGAAGTGTCACAGAGTTTCATATGGCTAATATTTCATTCTTTTTACCTCTTATAACCCAAGGGTTGTATATATCGGTACAATAATAATTATATAATATATATCGTGACCGCAGTGTTTATTATAATTATACTGCAAAGGCCTGCATATCTTGTTCATGATGAACATATGTCTAAATACCATATCTCGTGATGAAAGGTTAACTTATACCTCCTTTAGTAAGTGATGCAAGCATACCCAGCTACTGAGGGACTGGGCTGTGGGGTTGACACCAGCATGTGATGCACGTGCAGGCTGGTGCACAGTAGGAAGTGCGCAGTTGAGGGTGCGGCTTGAGTGTAACTCTTATAATGTCTGTTAATACCACTAAAATGTTATAGATTATAATTTTTACCATTAGGTAGATGGCAACTCTCTAGCAGGTAGTTTCTGCTGACTAGTGATAATATTAATTAATTTCTAACCCTATTGAAGGGAGTTAGTATGTTTTTACGCCACTTTCAGCAATATTCCAGCACTATCACGGTAGGGAACGAGTAGGGTCAGCCATACCGACAGTTGTAGCAAGTGATTTAGGATCTTTTATATCTCCCACCTCATTCTAACAATAAACATTTATCTTAATGACACAGACAATGTCTCCAGTTCACATTAATTACATCTTCTAAACTGAAAATGATTGACAGACCCTTGAGTTTTGTCAACCTTTAATGTTCCTACAGACATATGGACGTACTTGTACCAGCGATAATCTATGTCAGCAATGTGTAAAAATGTCTGGCCTGAATGAAAACCGCATGCTGTCATGTTGGAAGGTTTAGTTTGCTGTGGCATGTTCTCACAGCGATCAGTTTACACCTGGTGGCTGTCCCCTTGCCCCCAGATATTATGAGCGTTGTCACTTAGCTTTTGCTTATTGTTGTGAAATATCGTTATTATGTAATTACACTTGAGAGGTCCAAGTTTATTGAGATTCCTGTCTAAATTGTAAATATACTTGACAGTTTGAGGCCAACATGTGTGAACTGGTGTTTAAAAACGCAAAAGCCAAGGGATATTTGAAAGTTTACAGTAGATTTCAATGCTGATTTAATAGGATGAGGCTTCCAGGATAAATACAGATATTTATCAACATAGACTTACATTTAGTCTCTAAAATATATAAGTTTGATAGAAACGAGCAACTTCATTCTAATTGAAAAGGAGCCCCAGTGAGATGGGAGTTTCAGAACCTTTGCAAAATCTAGACTTGTTTCATTTAGGAGTATAGCATTACTGTTAGGCGGAATGAAAAATAATATGGTTCAGGGACTGAACAAGGTGAGCTATGAATAAGACACTGTTGTTTTGTGTGCAGATAATTATGAAACAAACTCCACTCCAGTCTTAGTCATAGCAAGTAGTCTTCAGCTGTGGTCAGAATGGCTACCTATTGGTTGACATGTGTAATGTGTGGGGATTGTTGGCGGTATGGGTCCCCACTAACATCAGTGGTTGGAATGTGTGTCCTGGCTGTCTGGGTGACATTGTACCGTTAGTGCTGACTGTTGCTCATGCTGTCAACCACTGATCTGCTAGCCCAGGCTTCATAATTTATTGGCTATTGCATTACAGCTGGATATTGCTGAATGAAGCATAAAACAACATTCACTCACTCACCAATATGTTTATAATTGTTCATTTTGTCTCGAATTACTGATAGTCAACTTTCACTAATGTGGAAGGTATCAATGACATTCATCACTTTGGGCTTTCCTCAACATTTAGTCCTAAATATTTTAAGAATATTCCCAAAAGTGTAAACTTTCTTTTGATATGTAAAAGGAAGGATCGCCAAGAATCTGTTCATTTAAAAAAACTGAAACTGAAGAAATCTAGACTTGCCTGAGAGTTTTTGGATATTTTTTGTTACAGGGTCTGAATGAGATACATCTGTTTACTTGCCATGATGAATGATGAATGTCTTTGATACCACAATTAAATGATGATAGGTCCAGAACTGGGTTTAAAAAATAATTTTGTCCAGTTTACAACATCATCAAGTTGCAATTGCATGTTCGAATCCCCAGAAATGACGTCATTATAGAACAATGTTTTATTGTGAAATACACCACACTTTGTCCTTCATTGTTCTTTATCCCGTAGCTATCTTATATTGTTAACTTACCTTCCGTCCCAAGATTGTGACCCAGTTGTGAATGTGTTTGCAGGCGTACGTTGAGTTCATCAAGTGTATGGGTGGTCTGTGGCTGGAGAGGAACATCTCCATCTTCCTGAACCACATCCTGGAGGTGGTGGCCAACCCACGGGCCACTCCGTCCCACGTAGATGCTGTGTACGCCAGAAAGTGCGTCCTCTTCATCATCCGCTCCGCCATTGGGGGCATGCTGGGAGAGAAGGCACAGATCGCCGCGGCCAAAGAAATATGTCAGATCATCATCAAGCAAATGAACTCAGTTGGTAAGACAGTTTACTCTGTTAGTTATAATGTTCTAGGAGCCAAATGACAAGCATGAGTGAATGAAAATATTCTCTTGACTCTTGAACTTTCTTTGTAAAGGAATTCTTGTGAGGATTCTTTGACAGAAGATCCCCATGTTTCATAAAGCCAGCTAAAATGAAGATGGCTGATGATAATTTGTAACCTGGCTGATGATGTGTCATTGTTGGTCATGATATCAACCACTGGTTTGCTGGGCCCAGAGTTGGTTATTTATGGGTAGTTGTAATATGGCTGGAATAGTGGTGACTAAAAAGTGAAACAACATTCACTCGCTCTCATTGTTCCTTTCATTCTCTTGAATGTACTTTTTAATATTGTGTTAAAACTAAGATGTTATTATAGTGAGTGAGGGAGGAGGAACTTCTCCCAGCACATACATGTTATCTTAGAATGTTTTCAATTGTACCATTTTATCAAATTTAGTGAAATTCACTTTTCATCTCAAGACAATTCTGTGTTCAGGTGAAGCTACCATCGACGCTGCGGAAGGGAAGTCCCAGGGTGCGGATCTCACCGCCAGTCAGCATGTGTTGGTGTGTGCTCTGCATGAACTCGGCAGCCTGGTGCTCAGGCTGGGCAGCTCAGCAAGTCCACTTGTTGCTGAACCCGCTACAGGTGAGGGACATTATGCTTTAATCTACAACAGCGTTGTCTTTGCTACTTGTCCTTGAACCTGTTACTGTCGTGGGACATGCTTCCAGGTTTGATTCCAGGGACATGATTTTCCTTTATGGCAGTTCATTTAGTCTTGCTGAACCTGCTCCAGTTAGGGCATATTTTATGATGGCAGTTCAGTCAATCAACTTGTGACTGAAGCAACTACGGAGGGCCACAAACTTACATCAGGCAGCTTGCTAGTTTAGCGATTCGACTTTTTAAAGCTTGAATAAGGATACTCACACTAAATTAGGTAGATTAGTCAGTTGAGAGGGATATTATCGGTAAAGTTCATACCTGGATGTGAGTTAAGCCAGCCTAGTTGTGTCCATGGGTGAGACATGTGTTTCATAACCACTGTGATCACATTTGACCCATGAATAGGTCTTCAACAACCCATGCTTGCCGTAAAAAGCGACCATGTTTGTTGTAAAAGGGGACTAACGGCATCAGGAGGTCAGGCTCGCTGACTTGGTTGATGCATGTCATCGTATCCCAATTGCATGGATCGATACTCATGATGTCAATCACTGGATTGTGTGATCCAGACTCGATTACTGACAGACCGCTGTCATATAGCTGGAATATTGCTGAGTATGGCATTCAACAACAACAACAACAAAAAGAAGAAGAAAAGATGGGTGATGTTTGACTGCCAGTAGTCACTGAGTGTCATGTATGTTATAAGGACCTTCAGAGTCTGAAGTAGATGAGGTGACCATGATGTGTTTTGGAAAACTGTAGGGAGCATGGGTGGCCCAGTCGTCTAAGGTGCCACGATTTGCTGTGCAGAGTTGCGTCCCTTGGGCATGGCAGAAACCTATGATTGTGGGTTCGAATTACGGTTTCGCCCCGATTATGTTTCTAGGTTTGTCAGCACCATACCCGTGCACATGGGTTTCACCGAAGTGGTAAACATCGGCATCACTTAGGGCTTTCCTCCCACATTAAGCTGACACGCCGTGATATAACTGGAATACTGTTAAAAGTGGCGTTAAACCCGATTCACTCACTCATTGGAAAACTAACATCATGGGAGGGTAGCCATTGATTGGTTTATCTGGACATTTTCAGAGCAGAACCCTCCACACACTTCATTCAATCTAGGATCCTATCTGACTTAGTTTATTGTGATTGCTGGATGGAGAACATTTACTGTTTGTCATAGCATCGTTTAGAGGCATTAGCAGGCCTGCCTTATCAGACTGAGACAACACTGTGTTGTCTGATGACTGCTGGGTCAATAATCATGCTGATAACAGCAGAAATATTGCTGACTTTCAATTTACACTTATCAGTTAAGCGGAATATATTTTGTGATGTTATCACATTGTTGTGTTCATGTAAATTACGAACAAGTTAGACATGGCTATAGGTTTCTTGTCCTCTTGGAGAAAGCAGTTAGAATAATTGCCAGGGAACAAGAGTAAACAAACCAAACTTAACCCTTCAGACATTGCTGCTGCCAACTCTTTACCCTTAGAAAGCTGGTTTACCTCTTGGTGTGTGGAGTATAAGTCAACCCATGAAGACCTGGGATAGAATTGTCTTCAGCAACCCATGCTTGCTGTTAAAGGTGACTTTGCTTGTAAGAGGTGACGAACAGGACCGGATGGTCAGGCTTGCTGACTTGGTTGAAGCATGTCATTGTATCCCTCTTGTGTGGTTTGACAATCAGTTAATGTCCTAGAACATGAAGCTGTCTGAAAGCCTTTATGACACTTATTTTTGTCAAACAACCCTCTTCCAAACAAACTACACCAAAACAAACAAAAACAGACTAACCAAAAAATACGAGAAAGGTTTGGGTAAGTTTGTGTCTACAGTTCACCATTAAATCATGCATTTTATTTGCCAACTGTCTTCACCATTTCTAATTATTGATGGCCAAAACATGCAGAAGAGGTTGAAATAGGATGGCATGTATCACAAGAACTTTGTTTTTCTTATTTGAGAAAGAGATCCCTCACTGCAATCTCCTCAATATCTGAAATGCCCTGGCTCTGATGTTACAATCTATAGCTGACATGACTTATCTCCCCTGTCATTTACATCCTGGAAGGTAACTGTTCATCCGCTGGCCCTGTTGTTGTCATCATATTGACAGAGATAGCCAAGGAAAATGGAAAAGTAATAGGAATTGTCTGTCTCCAGCCTAAAAATTCATGAGTTATGTGTAAAGTAAAGTTATCTTCTCTGATGAGGTGATATCAGCTGTATCCGACATTGCTTGGGACGGTGCCCAGAAGGAGGGCTGCTCTGATAGCGTCATGCCAACTTTCTATTCTTTGCCCATCTATCAGGACTTTATCAAAATGAGAATATTCTGAAAAAGATAAATGTCTGTTTTCTGATGCATAATATCCCATTTAGCATCACCGGTTCATTCAAAACAGCGTTAAACCAAACTCTCGCTCACTCATTACCGGTATAAGAAATTGCTTATCTGTACAATGCATTAAATTGCAGTCATGCCGTGCAAAGTGTTTTGTTATCAAATTTCAAGTAGGAGTTACTTTAATTGCTTTAAATTCAGGCTTGAGATAATGATTACATGTAGAATTTATCTGATGGAGTGAATCCCACATAATGATTTATCGCAGGTCAATTTATTTATTTATTTATTTTAAACACTTTTGACTGCTGTTTGTTATAGTTAGTCAAAGTTATTTGTGGAGATTGTTTCAGTCAATAGATATCCCTTTGTCTGTCATCCAATGTGATGTTAACAGATGCAGATAGCTCATGGACAGATTCTGAATGAAAAAATGTGGCATCAGTTACATACAGGTGTTTCACAGTGTTCTGATAATTTTACTTCGTGGAATGTATAGACAAGCTTACACATGTGGTGTCAGAGTTGATGTACTGTATGTTCCTTTCCTTAGCAATCATGTAAACATTTCAAAAGATCATTTGTTTTCAACATATCACAGATGCTTTGAAAGAAGAAACAGCATATGTATACAACTTTATATTTTGGGACAATGGACTTGGGTATATCTTTGGTTCCAAACTAAATCCCCTTGACAGGCAAATTGGGAATAAAATCATTAGAAGTATCTCATGAAACATTAAAACATCAGAAGTATTTAAATCAATTCAATAATGTAAATTTTAGGATTAAACCTCTTCCCATTTACGTGACTTGGGAAAATTTAATTCAAATTTGGGATTTTTTATTGACATTTGCTACAGCTGTGAATATCATCATCTCAGCAGGTCTATATTAATACCCGAGTCCGTTGCCCATTTCGGTATTAGGTCTAGATTCGTGTAAGTGTTTTGTATCAAACTGAGACATTGTCTTTGCATAAACGGGGCAATCATTAGCTGTTAGTGACATACATCATAATATTATGATAAGCATTAAAAAATCATGGTTGAACGACCTGAATAAAACTTGGTACACCTGCCAAGTTTCCTGAGGAGAGTCCCCCTTTAACTTTGCATGTTGTTCACAGGTATCATTGAGCCTGTGGTGTCTGTGCTCATCCATCCAAGTCATGCTGCCCGTCTGTCGGCGTCGTGGTGTCTGGGCAGCATCGCTGTAGCTCTGCCGTCACAGTTGACGCCCCTGCTGGACCGGTGCGTGGAGAGGATGGAGAAGCTGAAGTCGTCCCCGGAGGCTGTGTCTGGCTATAGCAGTGCACTTGCAGCACTACTAGGAGGGGTCTACCAGTGCCCTCTAGGCATTCCACACGCAAAAGGAAAGGTGCGTAGTCATCGGATGTGTCATTTACACTGCAGGCACTTACTATCCCCCTCCATGAAGTGGAAGAGGGATATAAGAATGGGTGCTGTCCATCCATCACGTTTCGTTTATGGATCAGAACTCAAAAACCATGAGAGATATCTTAACCAAACTTGTCACATAGATAGGTCAAATGGTGAACTGGCGCCTTTTGATAGTTTGGGATTTATTTATTTATTATTATTTTAAAAATCTTTTTGAGTTTCCATGGCAACAACTTTGACTAGAACTGAAAATGGCGGCCGTGCTCCACACAACCGGACATGTCATATTGGTGCGGATATGAGTATTTCATGCTTGTTTTCATGGCTATCTGGAAATAACCAAATCGTTACCCTGACAAACCAGTGGTTGATGGCATGAGCAACAATTAATGATATTGGGCTTTGATTCTTTTATCATAGAAAATGTGAGAAGAGACTTTAATTCATGAGACATGATACACTTCCATGTAATCCTGTCATGATTTCAGCCATTTTTTTTTTGTTGTTGTCTTATTTAATCCTTTTTTTCCCCTCCTTTTTTTTCAATTTATCTTTTATTCTTTAGAATGATCATGGTTTTACATTAAGATTCCAAGTGTTATTTTAATCCTTCTTTGTTCTAATTCCAGCAAATCTTCACAATAGCAGAGGAGTTGTTGAGGACAGCGTCCCAGAACAGTCGTCTGTCTCTGCAGAGAACCCAGTCAGGCTGGCTTCTGCTGGGGGCCCTCATGACTCTAGGTACAGCAGCACTCTAACATTCTCATGCTTCCTCGCCTGATACTCAGGCTGTGTCTTATTCCTGGGTAGAATTTCAATACATACTACTCAATTTATGATAGGGATAATCCAATATGTCAGAAAAAATTATTTATACACTTGACATGATATGAAAATCGTTTTAATGTATCATGGAAATATAGCACATCCCTATCAAAAGTGGAGCAGTATATGTCACAGAGAATGGGCACATATCATCTTAGGCACTGTGCAGATTTACCCCCCTTAGTTGTGACAGGATCAGTCAAGAATCTTGCTGATAATTATCTTTAGTTTGTTAGCACCATACCAATGCTTATTGATTTTACCTTAGTGTTGAATATCTACAGTCTGCTTCATTTTGGGCTTTCCTCTCACATTCAACTGATATATTATGGTATAGCTGAAATACTTTTCACAACAGTGTTTCTCCCAACCCCCTCAATGTAGTCACAAGAATGTTGATTTGGCTATATGGCTAAGAACTTGAAATATTCGAACTTTACTTCTACCCACAGATTCTTCCCTTAAAGCATAATGTACCTCAATGTTACAGGTCAGTCAGTTGTCAAGAACCATCTTCCCCGCATGTTGCTGCTGTGGCGAAATGCCTTCCCACGATCAAGTCGAGAGCTGGAGTCCGAGAAGGTGCGGGGTGATGCCTTCACGTGGCAGGTTACGCTGGAGGGACGAGCCGGCGCTCTTGGCGGTGAGGACACCACAATAACATGATCATATTACCTAATACAATATGAGGGTTGACAGTTGGTGCTGATATCCTAGTAGATAACATTACAACGAATTTCTATCACAATGCATTGGAGTCCATTGTGACCTCATGGATTACCATGACATCACTAATCTCTCTGCCTCTGAAGCTGGTTAGCAGTGCTATTTAAAATGGGGACAGTGGGTATTACTGTTTACAAACTGGGAAACATTAGAAGAATAATTTTGGATGATAAATGGATCTCACCATTGTGTTTTTCATATTAAAACATTTTTTATCAAATGATACTTGGGTGAGATTTTCTCTGTGTTCAGCAGATCTATCAACAGCTTGGGTTGAATGTACACTAGTGTTATTGTTTTTGTATTGCCTGTTTTGGACTATTGGAATGCATGGGTAGTTGATTAGTCCTTGTTATGTATTAGCAGTTAGTATTTGGTGGGGAAGAAAGATATACCAAGTATTCATTTAAGCTCTGTGGTATATTTGACAAATCCTTAGATCAAGTTTTGTAGACAGGGATCCTGTGGGGATTTTGGGAAATGTTTCTCCAGTGTTTGTTGTGAGAGATGAAATGAATTGGGTGGTCAGGCTCAGTGACCTGGCTGATTGAGTGTCACAATAGCCAGACAGCTTAGAACTTTGCTCATTATGTCAACCACTGGTTTGTCATGTCAACCACTGGTTTGTCTGTTGTTATATCAACTACTGGTTTGTCTGTCATAATGTCAACCACTGGTTTGTCTGTCATAATGTCAACCACTGGTTTGTCTGTCATAATGTCAACCACTGGTTTGTCTGTCATTATATCAACCACTGGTTTGTCTGTCGTTATATCAACCACTGGTCTGTCTGTCGTTATAACAACCACTGGTTTGTCTGTCGTTATGTCAACCACTGGTTTGTCTGTCATAATGTCAACCACTGGTTTGTCTGTCATAATGTCAACCACTGGTTTGTCTGTCGTTATATCAACCACTGGTTTGTCTGTCATTATATCAACCACTGGTTTGTCTGTCATAATGTCAACCACTGGTTTGTCTGTCGTTATATCAACCACTAGTTTGTCTGTCGTTATATCAACCACTGGTTTGTCTGTCATTATATCAACCACTGGTTTGTCTGTCGTTATATCAACCACTGGTTTGTCTGTCGTTATATCAACCACTGGTTTGTCTGTCATAATGTCAACCACTGGTTTGTCTGTCATAATGTCAACCACTAGTTTGTCTGTCGTTATATCAACCACTGGTTTGTCTGTCATACTGTCAACCACTAGTTTGTCTGTCGTTATATCAACCACTGGTTTGTCTGTCGTTATATCAACTACTGGTTTGTCTGTCGTTATATCAACCACTGGTTTGTCTGTCATAATGTCAACTACTGGTTAGGGTGGTCCAGACTTGATACTATACAGCAATGTACAGCTGGAATATTGCTGACTGCAATGTAAAACAACATTCACTCACTTACTTCTTTGACAGGGTACCATGTGACAGCAGCACTGTCTGTCAGTAGTTGCCCCAGGTGGTCATCCAACCTCATACTGCTGTTCTTTGGCAGCTTCACTTGACCATTAGTTAATACTATCTAACATATTTATTTAATATTGACCAGTATTTCTTTGCATTTATGGAGGTTTAGCGTAAACAATAATCCAACAAAAGCTCCGCCCATTCTGTTATCAGCCAATCATTGGCTGTTCATCGCTGCTCATTGCCAATTTTTTTGTGTGAAAAGAAAACCGCCTTGGAATCCCTTGCAATTTATTTATTGTGTGATATGTGTGTGTTTCAGCTATGCATAGTTTCCTTCTGTACTGTCGGGAGTTGGTGACAGAAGATGTCATTCGCCGTCTGCTGGCACCGATGGAGTGTGCATTGCTCATGTTGTCACAGTAAGTCATCCTGCGATCATGATATCCTGTCACTAGGGAGGTAAAGCATAAGATATCCATAGGGAGGTAAAATAAAAGATATTCATTGAGAGTTAAGATATAAGATATGCATGACTTTCGGTTTATAGTTTGAAGTGCCTTTTGGGGCGTCGGGTAGCCTAGTGGTTAAAGCGTTCGCTCGTCACGCCGAAGACCCGGGTTCGATTCCTGACATGGGTACAATGTGTGAAGCCTATTTCTGGTGTCCCCCGCCGTGATATTGCTGGAACATTGCTAAAGGCAGCGTAAAATCAAACTCACTCACTTGAAGTGCCTTTCAGTGTTGTCTTGAACTTTCAGCCTTCCAAGCATCATCAAGCTGTATGGTCCCCACCTGAAGGCCAGCGCCGCCATGGTGAGACTGAGAGTGTATGACGTGCTGTCACTGCTGCCGCCAGAATCCTTTGATGGTAGGTTTCTTATACCACTTCTAGTGTATGAAGTGTATGACTCGGGCGGCTTCCGGGTTAAAATATGTCCCCAGCTACCTGTGCTTGTCGTAAGAGGTCAGGAAAGGATTCAGTGGACAGGTAACTTGGTAATTTGTATGTAATTGTATCCTTGCATGTCATTGTACCCTAACAGGATTGTTTAGAGGCCACTCATATAGCTGGAAGATTGCTGAGTGCAGCGTTAAACAACAAACAAGGAACTATATGAACTGTCAAGGTAATATCTATTTTCTAGTGTGAAATCCATGCATACTTTCTGAGGACCTCATTGGGATATTGGGGCAGGTTTGGTAAATTGCATGTCATTGTACCCTAACAGGATTGTTTAGAGGCCACTTATATAGCTGGAATACTGCTGAGTGCAGTGTTAAACAACAAACAAACAAAGAACTACATGAATCCCTCTTTGGGATTCTGGGGCAGAATAGACATCCAGAACCCAATACTTGTTGTAAGAACAATGATTGGGTGGTTACAATGTGGAACCTGTTTGGTTGTGTGTCATCCTCCCAGACTTATGCTGAATGGTGTGCCTGGTTTTGATTATTTACAGTCGCTGGAATATTGTGGACAGTTGTATAAAACAACATTGACCCACTCATTTAGTAATTAAAGGCAAAAGTGACTGGTGTTTTACTGTACAAGCGTTGTTCCTGATCATGTGATCACAATATCAGGGTATGAAACTCCCAAAAATTTCAGCCAGACCACAGGACTGGCTAGCTGAAATACTTGCCAGCCCTGACCAAAACCTGCCTGCTCACTAGAATCATATGTTTCTCAGGATAAGCTAACGGGATTTCTTTTTGGTTACATTTTATCATTCATCTTTACATGTGAATTAATGATTATCATCGGGAAATATTTAGAATATTGTCACATATGAAACATAACCCGACCGTCGGGCAGGGGGATTTGAAAATCTGGCAGCCCGAGTTGAAATCAACCCGTCTCGGACGGTCGGGCAGGCAGGTATTTCGAACACTGACAATATGCTTCTGTTCTAGGAATGTTTCCGATGCTGTTGCGAGAGCTGGTTGCAGAGTTTACCTTGACCGACAATCCAGCAACAACAACGACTTCGCTGTTGCGATCCATGTGCCACGTTGACGACAGTGTCATACTGGGGTCATGGCTGCAAGAGACGGACCACAAGGCCATTGAGGACCAGGTAGGACTCCTGCGAAGGCCATCTGTGTAGAACACGGGCCATCTACAACATTGTTACATTTAACATACACTACTTCAGCACGTTGGGATATTTGGCTGTTACAGTTTTACACTCCTGGAACATCATGGGTATATCATTTATACACTGTTGGAAAATACATGGGTAGTGGAACACCTAGGGGATATCATTGTTATATACTATTGGAACATAAAAAGCACTGGAACACCTTGGGGATATCATATTTATGCACTGTTTGAAAATACAAAGGGTAGTTAGACAGCTTGGGGATATTATGTTTATATGCTTGTGGAACATAGATAGGCAACATGAGCACTGTTTTACACAAGTGAAAGATTTATGTAAACAACAAAACATTTTGAAGAAACTACATTATAACAGCTAGGAAGATATCACAGTTTACCGAGCAAGCATTCTAACAAGGAGACAATACAGGAATATCACAATAATTTTGCAGTAGAACTAGTACCACATGTGTACAAGAACACCATGATGATACCACAGTTTTACACCAGTAGAACACATGTATAGGAACGCCACAAGCATATGAAAGCTTGACACTGTCATAACATGTACAAGAACACCATGGTGATACCACAGTTTTACACCAGTAGAACACATGTATAGGAACGCCATAAGCATATGAAAGCTTGACACTGTCATAACATGTAGAACACCTTGATGATACCACAGTTTTACTCCAGTAGAACACATGTATATGAACGCCACAAGAATATGAAAGCTATACACGATCATAACAAGTACAAGAACACCATGATGTCACACATATATACGAGTATAACTCACATATCTTTGTGCATGAACACTTTGAACTTGTCTGTAATGTTTCAGCCTTCTCTTTTCAAACAGTATGTTGTTGAACTAGTTCATATGATAAAGGAAATATTAGAATGTGATGTTGTTGAACAGTAGGATCATGGTGTTAACGCAGCTAGTTGTAATAGACATAATTATGGTGTAAGTGCTGAAAATGTGTTCTTTAATTGCATTAGAAACATTTGCACAAGATATCCAATTAATGATGAATCAGATCATCATAGTGGTAAACGTCTAAAAGTAAAACACACCGTGATACAACTGGAATACTGTTAAAAGAGTGGTGTTAAACATGACCCACTCACTCAATTCTTGGTTTGTCAGCACCATATCTGTGCTCGTGGGTTTCATCAAAGTGGTAAACGTCTGAGACCTGCATCACTTCGGGCTTTCCTCCCACATTAAGCTGACATGCCGTGATATAACTGGATACTGTTAAAAGCGGTGTTAAACCAAACTCACTCACTCACTCACTTTTGCCAGTCAATACATATATTGCTGGAGAATAATCTCATTTTCTCACCAGTAGAGCCGAGCACAGTCATCAGTAATAGCCATATTGAATGCAAATCTGTATCAATTTCATTCCAGGCTTATAATGTTCCTCAAAGGAAATGTTGTCCTAAGTCTATCGTAACTCCTTATCATTAAGCACATACTTACGATGATCATACCATCGGGGAATGAGGCCCTGGAATGACGGGGTGTCATCATCAAGACAATAAATTACTCCAATAATATATCTGTCAAAAACACCCGAAATGCCAACACTCTATAGAATAAGATTGAAGCCCCTCTTATATTTCTGGTGTGACTACATCCAGATACTCTCGTAAGTTGAAAACAAAGTAGAAAACAGGCCAAATTGTAAGATTTGTAGTTGTTTCATACACAGGATCATATTTCATAGCCAGATGCTCTATTTTTTCATATAAAGCAGATGTAATGTAAAGTTTTAACTCTCACTCACATTTCATAGAATGTATATAGACGTTCACATTTCTCCTCTCTCCTCACAGTCCTTTACAAACGAGTTGTGTTTGTCTTGGTTTGTTTACATGTTGACCCTTGATTTCGTCTCCATGTTTCTGTTGAGGATGAAGTCCTTGTTTTGTCTGTTTCTATGACCTTTGGCTTCCAACGTTTAATCACAAGAGCCTTATTGACTTTGTTTAATTGTATCATTTATGCTTTGGAATATGAAAGTATTTTGTCTTGCCCTTTCTTGTTGGCTGTTCGTTATTCACTAAACCCATCCTACTATTAGAACCCCAGGTATCAATTTGTTACTGTCCATTAGTGTGCAGTCTCATTTCCCAAACTCTTTCTCTTTCGTCCAACCATTGCTGCGTCAAATTGTTGTGAAGTCGACCTGTACCTTCTCTTGTAGATTGAACCTAATCGTAGGGTGGATAAGGAGTTCGTGAGTATTCCTAAAACAGCAACAACACTGACTGCACTTACAGATGTGTGCCCGTGCTGCTAATATGTCTTACTTTCAGCTCAACTTGGTGATCAAGCCTTCATCAATAGTCGGACACAAATTGGTCAAACATGACAAATAATTATTGGGGGGGCGGGTTGGTAACCTTGTGGTAAAGCGTTGGCTTTCAGCGGACAAGACCTGGGTTCGATTCCCCACGTACAATGTTTGAAGCCTCTTTCTGATGTCACCTCACCTAGTACAGCTGGAATATTGCGAAAATCCAAAATAATCCTGAATCACCCATTGACCTTTAAAGTAATATCCAGGAGTTACATCTTTGCTATGCAAACTTGGTTGTTTTAAATATGGAGCATGAATATTCATTTCAAACAGGTTATAAAGATTTTCTTAAAATATATTTGACTTTTTTTTTTTTCATGTAAATATTTGAATGCATATACTTCTAAAAAAAAGTGTTAATTGTTACATTCTGTTTTCATTATTCCATGCTGTATAATTACTGTATATAAGTTATTGGTGTCATCGTGCAGGTCTCAAGCTTGATCACCAATGTTGAAGTTTTGTTTTGGATGCTGTCATGACCAGCGGAGGGCCGTCTGCTGAGGTGCATGTTTCGAATGCGGCCAGTTTCATTGAGTTTATTTAGGTGTACGCCTGCTTCAATCAGATGCATCGTGAACCAGTAGTAAATATCTCCCAAAAACAATTCTCTCCTGTCTTCCATGCTCAAGGCAATCATTTTGATTATTAATGGTGACCCACCGGGAGAAAAGGGACCTTTATGGGTGCTCAGATACAATTGTGCCATGACGTCATAAAGATGTCAACTTACTTCTGTATAAATCGCTATGTGTGTTGACTGTACCAAAATATCTTATTTCTCTCTCATTAGTCCGTAATGTAATAAAAACCTTTAAAAACCTTTCAGCATACATGTCTTCTTTTAATTCAACACATTATGTCTAAAGACTGCAATTATTACATATTACTCTAAGTCGGAAAAAGAGTCCAAATGTTTGATGCCATGTATCTCTGTAATAAATATGAGTTGAAGCTTAGGAATTGGATTTTTGTGTTCCAAAGATACTGTAGTTTTAATATATAATGAAATGTCAAAATGTCAAATATTTTCACCCATAAGGTCACTTATCTCACAGTTGGTCACAATCATTAAAAGTTCCATAAAGTTCCAAAAGATTTGAGACAAGAGAGATTGGTTTTGAATGGAGGACAAGCTGATGACATGAACTCTATCGACTAACCATTCTAACTGAATGTTATTTCAGTCAATCATCACACATTTCCCCATCGAGTAGAAACTGACGATATCATGTTGGAAATGAGGCTGCACTACCCATAGTTAAATCTGACCTAGATTCGTTAGTTTCCATAACAGTTAGGAACTGTGTTACAAACCCGTCAAACTGTTCCCATTTAATAAACATACAATCGTTATAACTACAAAATTTGTCCCATTTTAAGAAACTACAGTGGCTATGACAAGATTAGTTTTGATATGTGACGGAGATGCACTTCAGGTTTTGAGAATGTACAAGGGAAGATCCCTTCCTTATTACTGCTGTGCTGCATGGTTTTATTTGTAGACTACTGTGTTTGCTTCTGTGTGTGAAAGGTGAATGTGAGTACGCGAAAACACTAAACGATCCTCTAGGGATGGAGACATAATGTGAAGAAATGTAAATGAATTGAAGCATCTAGACTCTGTGAACATCAGTTAAGGATCTGAGTGGCTTTTCATGACATCTGCCTTGGAATGAGCACGGCATGTGACTACAAAGTATTTTCACCCTAACATGACATTATACAAAGGGAGACAACCAGGATCTTCTCAGCATGCAGACACTCTAACAAATATCACTGTGTACTAACCAGACCCATCATGCTGCGTACTATCATATCTTATGATAAAAAATATTCACAAGCATTACATTATTGTGAGTTATTGTAAACATTGATGCAATTAGTTAGACACAACTTCTGTTCAGTGCTTCAGTCATTGTCATCAGTAAGATGCACATGGTTTAATTCCCATGTTCCGTGTAAGGTCTGTCATGAGGAAGTGTTCAGTACAGTTCACACAGAAGAATACAACTGCATCATGGAAACATGTTTTCTCTCAGGGTTAAGCAGATTTTGGTTTTCTTTCATACATTTTGAAGTCCATGTCGTCTGCTTTCAGCTACAGCCCAACAGCGCGTCTGGCTCGGGGGCTCTGGAGCATGATGCACAGTATCTTTATGCAAGATGTCCTCCGGTAAGTTAGAATTTCAGGAGTCAATTTCTTTCTATAGACGGGATATGTCCCATCACTCCACTGTCATCAGCACATACAGAACAGAACTTTATTTCACTCGGACCTTGGACCTCAGTATATGAGGTACGAACAAAGGGAGCGTAATGAGGCAGACATACAACTAGCCAGAAGTTTTCATAATGATAATGGTAAATTTACAAAATTCCTTACACGTATTTTGAGGAAATGAACAATTCCATAAATGTTTACACTCTTGAATGATTTTTACATTTATAATGGTATACAATTTACAACATCGTTAAAGCATGTACATTTGTAAATGTAATGGTATTCATCACCAGCATCCTTCATATCACATAATTTATAAATACATGCAGTTATTGGAGTGTTTTTCCATGTTCTTGTTTCAAAGATAACTGAAATGAGGATCAGATGTGGGGGTTATAATCCGGGTGATTGTATGTAGGCTAATCTCATTGTATCCAATCGACTCCCGGTTCGCCCTGATTATGTTTCTAGGTTTGTCAGCACCATACCCGTGCTCGTGGGTTTCACCAAAGTGGTAAACGTCTGAGACCTGCATCACTTCGGGCTTTCCACCCACATTAAGCTGACAGGCTGTGATATAACTGGAATAATGTTAAAAGTGGCGTTAAAGTCAACTCACTCACTCACTCACTCACTCACTCACTCACTCACTCACTCACTCACTCACTCACTCACTCACTCACTCACTCACTCACTCATTGTATCCAAACAGCTGTGATTATTGCTCATGCTGTGAGCCACTGGTCTCATGGATTTCTAGGCCATTATGTTATAGCTGTATACAAAAACTGTTCCAAGTAAATCAAACCAAACTCACTCACTTATCACTCAAACCTACAAGAGGGTTGGTATAAAAACATTGAACCAAATTAGCTTGTGGGTAGCCTACTGGAATGCAGCTGGTTCTGCAACGGGGCTGGGTTTGAATCCCAACATGGGTTCTGTTTCCCACATTTGTTAGCAATGAGAAAGATAACTAACTATTATCTGTAGTATCACATAACATATCAAGCTGTACAATGTGGTGCCTCTACTTACAGAGTGATCCTGTGCCAGGACCGTTGCCACTTGGTGTCGCTGTCATTGACAGCTCTGTACGATTGTATGGGTTCATCTTCCCCCGAGTAGCACACAAACATCGATATCAGATGCTCAACCACTTCAATGAATGTATCAAGCAAGCTAAATCGTCACGGCAACAGGCTGTCCAGATGAACATCTTCACTGCAGTGCTGTGTGCACTCAAGGTAGGGCCAATACCAACATGGAGGTCTAGTTGGAAATTGTTTGAAACTGAAGTCTCTCCATTATGCGAGAGAGTACCGACTGCTGAATGATGCCCACACTGAAGCACATGTAGCACATGTGGCGTCTCCTTAGACAAGAGACTTACCGTATTTGACGTAATAAGCGCCCACGGCGATAATTGCTAACATATTGACTAGTGAACAATCCCAATTAGCACCGCTTCCGATTGATCAATGTACACAAGACTTATTTATTCGCGTATAATACGCACTCGTGTGTTATAGGCACCTTTAATTATGGGCAATGAAATTCTGGAAAAATATAGCTGTCGTACATAAACATTTCAGGCTGTCAGCATAAACCATGAAATTTATTTCCAACTCTTGTTTTTACCACCAAAATAATATTCTAATAAGAGCCCCCTATTTCTAATTTTGAGAGCGCCCTGGGCGCTTATTACATCGAGTACGGTAGTTCGAAATGTGCCTGTGTTCACCCAGCAGTACCTGGAAGGATGAGATGGTAATGTCACTGTTAACCTTCTAGCCTCACAGACTGCTTGGTTTGTATACTCCCCAGGGAGCTGAGAATGAAAATCGTGTGCACATTGATCCATTTACTGGGTAGTAATATAGCACGTTAAGCATGCTTTAGGGTGTGAATATGCACACAATTATGCTTATTCAGAGATGTCAAACTCTGTTGTAGAAGCTTGTTTCATATGTGATATACCATTTTGTGCTATGGTAAGGTGAAATAATGACGTTTTGTTTCTACAGAGTCTGTCTGAAACAAAGACAAGCATCGGAACAGATGATGTAAAGAAAGCAGCCTTTTCCCTTATCATGGTAAGTCTAGCTCCGTGATGGAACAAAATATATGGTGAAACACTTGCACATCCTTGGATGTAACAAACACTTTTGAGAGTACTAGCCCTGAACTTGGCTCTTGGCATCTGTTTCAACAGATTTTAGTGTTATTATGTAGACTGTTATTTGCTGAGCTTACAAGACCGGACTGAATTTTACTAGATTTGGGCTTCAGACCAGTGGCTAAAGTCGCAGCCTAGATAACTATAAATACCCATGTCGATCCAGTAGGCAAGATATCATCAGCAGTGGTGGGATGATACATCGATGCATTTGTGGATCGCAATATTTTACTTCCTGATACAAGTATCGATCATAGTCACACTTAAGTAAAAAATATTACACCAAACAAACACTAGTTAGTAGTAAACATGTAAATATTTTCATCCTTTGTACCATAATTGACACTATCAACTGCAAATCATTTGTGTGCCAGGTGTTTGGCCATCTTGCCTGTGAAAAAGCTGGCTTATGCACCACAGATAAGAGCACATGCAAGTATCATGATGTGCATCGGATTGTGAGCAAGGTATCCCGATACATATCGGATCACACAGTTGGTGTATCGTCCTAGCCCTATTCATCAGGTGATCAGTTACTTCACTTGACATAGCTTCATGATATAGATCAGGCTTTCAGTCACTGGTTTGTCTGGTCCAGACTATGTACAGACCACAGTGATATAGCTGGAATATTGCTAACTGTGGCATTAAACAACATTCACTCACTAACTCGCCACCATTACAGTGGTGATACTATTGGAATAGCATTGCAATAGTAGGTTTAGTCACCCGTATCTGTTGTAACCTTGTGGGGGGGGGTGTGTGGTCGGGTAGCCTAGTGGTTATAGCGTTCGCTCGTCACGCCGAAGACCCGGGTTCGATTCCCGACATAGGTACAATGTGTGAAGCCCATTTCTAGTGTCCCCCGCCGTGATATTGCTGGAATATTGCTAAAAGCAGCGTAAAACCATACGCACTCACTCACTGTAACCTTGTGTTGTGACCATGTTGTACTTCATGGATTTGTATTACCCAGGGTGCACTGAGCAGCGCCAACCCTATCTTGAGATGTGCAGCTGGCGAGGCCCTGGGTCGGATGGCCCAGGTTGTCGGGGACAGCAGGTTCATAGCCGAGATGGCACAATACAGCTTTGATAAGTAAGTATTGGCATATCGGTATGTTATAAGTTTGGCCTCAATATTGGCAGGAGAGATATTTAAGTAGAAGGTTGAGGATTTACTGTAACTGTTTTATTTCGATTTTTGACATGATATTTTTACATTGAATAAAGATCCCATCTGTTTATAGCACTCATAAGAGATCATCTTTAAGATGCAGATAGTTAATGTATCCATACATACAACTTTCACAAGAATTTCAGTTGTTGAAAAATGTATCCATAAACAACATACATGCAACTTTCTTGGGAAACAAAGAAAGAAACTGACACATCACCTCAAACTTCCCTTGTAGTGAAAGTGTTTTTGTTCATTGTGTTGTAATTCTTTGCCTTTTGCCCAGATTGAAGTCTGCAAGAGATGTAGTGAGTCGGACGGGTCACTCCCTGGCTCTTGGCTGCCTCCACCGCTACGTAGGGGGGATGGGGTCTGGCCAGCATCTCAACACCAGCGTCAGCATCCTACTGGCTCTAGCACAGGACTTCAACTCACCTGTTGTACAGGTAAGCAGAGTCTTTATTGCAGAGTCATCCCAGGATGAATGAGTGACTGTCTTTTCCAGTGAGCATTTCTTGTGTATTTCAAGTCTATTTAGACATTATGACTGCTATAGTGTCTGCAGGTTTGTGAGTGTATTTGCAACAGTTGGACAAGTCTTCAGAGTTGTCTCCCTTAGTCATGCCAGGATCCAATGATCAGGGATTCAGATTTATTTATTCAGCTTAAATTAGATTCTTGGTTTGTCATCAACGTATCTGTGCTCATGAATTTCAACGAAGTCATTTTGGACTTTCCTTTCACATTAAGCTAACATATTGTAAATGTATACAGTTCAAATTGACATTAACCCTATTGATGCTCGCTCACTCACTCACTTTCTTCCAGGTGTGGGCTCTCCATGCCCTAGCACTGATCGCTGACTCTGGTGGACCAATGTTCCGGAGCTATGTGGAGCCGACGCTGTCCCTGGTGCTACAGCTGCTGTTGTCGGTCCCACCGTCATCCATTGATGTTCACCAGTGTCTAGGAAAGTGTCTATCAGCCCTTATCACATCCATAGGACCAGAGTTGCAGGGTGAGTAGCCTGAGTCTTTTATGTCCTTCAATATGGTGGAAGATCTGTTCTGAAAGGATGTTTAAAGAGCCTGTTAATTTGTTTTATCACATATGACTGCTGGTCAACACAGGATATGTTTGTTTGTTTTTAATACCACACTCGGCAATATTCCAACTGTATGACAGTGGTCTGTAAATAATCATGTCTGGATCAGACAATCCAGTGATTGATATCATGAGCATTGATCTACGCATTTGGGATATGATGACATGCATCAACCAAATCAGCAAGTCTGACCACTAGATCCAATTAGTCGCCTCTTACGACAAGCATAGATGCCTTTCACGGTAAGCATGGTTTGCTGAAATCTTATTCTAACCCGGATCTTCACGGTGACAAGATATGTACCTTGATAATGGTTAAACTTCAATAACCCACAATAACGACACTGATTCTGCTTGAGACAAATGTCACTTGGACATTTCCTGATTCAGTTTTTCATTTGACATTCTTGTATATATATGATGTTTCTTCATCAGGAAACAGCGGGTCTATTGCGACGGCGCGGTTGTACAGCCTGGTGTGCTGTGCAGTGATGCAGGACCACCCGGACTCCCTGGTGCAGGCCGAGGCCATCACGTGTCTGCAACAACTACACATGTTTGCCCCTCGCCACGTCAACCTCACCAGCCTCATACCCCACCTCTGCGTAAGTTCCAGCTAGATCATTAGTAACATATATGTTGGAACTCAAGGGACACTTTCTTATATCTGAAATCACTTATTATTGGGATTCAACAGAGGATTGTAAAGAAATATAAATGTGAAAATCCAAATTTTTTTTTGATGTTCTGTTTGAATCTCACAACCATTTGTGCAACAATTTTATTTTGGGGATTTTTCCAAGTGCCCTTGGCAGGCAGTTTTGGAAGAAAATCGTTATTGGTCAGTCACCTGTACAAAAGCCACAACAATAGTTATTACTGTGTAACATGAATTGGTAAATTTGTCATTCAAATTTTTGGGAATATTTACTGACATTTGCAGCAGATTTGGGCTGAATATTGGTTTCTGAGCAGATGTAGATAAATCCCAGGAATTTTACTGTCATTTTTGCACTACCTCCAACAGGAAATCTTGACGAGCTCCCACCTGTTGTTGCGGCGGGCGGCTGTAGCCTGTCTTCGTCAGCTGGTGACCCGAGAAGCCAGGGAAATCAGTGAACAGGCCTTGTCGCTGTCTGGTGAGGGCAAGGATGGGAAGTCGTGTGCCAACATCACAGAAACCGGCCTAGAGGGGGCGTTGTTTGGAATGCTTGATACAGAAATAGATGGGAAGCTGATATCGGATGTGCAGGACACAATCGACAGCTTGCTGCAGAATCTTGCCATTCCAAATCTTACTCGCTGGCTGATGCTACTGAAGGATGTATTATCTGCGTCGACAGGTTTGTAGTGCTTATGTTGGTGTGGAGAGATATTTTATAGTTGATATGATCATTCAGTGTTAGGCCTATTCCAACAAAGTTTGAAGCAGCTCATTGCAACTTAGAATGAAAACAGGTCTGCTTATGAACACCTAATGCCAGGTAGAAAGTTGTCAGATGTAACAAATGTTATATTTGGGATAACACTTTCTTAGTAAAGTACATATTCTAGTCTGCTTATACCTTAAAATGAATGTTAAATATGTCTTGAGATATGTTGATGTGGATAAGATTATTCTGTGCGTGGCTTCAGTTGTTTTATTCCTGTGTTGGTTCCTGCTTGATGTCAGAGGAAGTTATGTGATGATGGTTAAATGTACCTATGTTAAACTCCTCCAGACACAAGTAGCGCCAGCCCTGGCGATGATGACGGAGGTGATGATGATGACGACGAGGAGAGTCAGGACATTGATGTCAGGTTCAAGGCTGCGGAAGTAGAGAACGCACATCCTACAGTAGCACCCAGGTTGGTATAGGCAGACCCTATGGAGGTTTAGGGTTACAATTGGTTCCCAGTCAAGGATTCTCTCAGGATTATGAAGTTGCATTGTACTAATATATAAGAAGTTTGTGTTAACACAATGCCGCTTTGTATTTCTAAAATGTCTCTCTCCCTTTGTCAGATGGCCAACTCGAGTGTTTGCTGTTGAGTGTCTGAGGAAGATCATGACGTCCTGTGAGAGTGGTGAAGATCAGTTTGACCTGGTCAAGGCCAAGGCACTTTCAGAGTCAACAGGAAAACGTAGGTCACACAGAAAACTTGTAAAGTAATGCAGCGCCTAATGAGAGTTGCATCGAGACTAATGTGCACAGCTGCGCAACAGCTAAATAATTTCTGTATATATTCATGCTTTGTTTGTTATTGTTTGTTACTTGTCTGTTATTGAATATATAAAAGTGGGAGAAGTCTGTGGGGAAGTTTTGACACGATTCCTCATCGTTGATTATCTCCCTTCGTCCATCAGGATGTTACCTGGCTCTTCATCTATCTGACCTGATCAGGATGGCGTTCATCGCAGCAACATCAGACAGCAACCAGCTGCGATTGGCTGGTCTAGCAGCTCTTGAGGTAATAGTCGTCTTCATGGTTGCCACAAAATAAAGTAATAAATGTATGTTTTCAGTAATCATTATTACACCAAAGGCCAAGGTCAAATATTCTACATGGATATGTGTGGCATGGTATGTCTGTTTTAATTTTAAAAGGGCTTGAAACTCCAGTTGACATGAAGAGAATCCCGAGGCCCTTGAGGTTTGATCTACAGCATCTGAAATTAGGGGCCCCTTAAATCTTGAACTTTTAGCATTTAGGCAACAACAAGCACCACTTGATTTCAAACATTGTATTGACCTGCTGTGAAATGTTTGTTTTACCAGGAACTTGTGACGAAGTTTGCAAGCATCCCGGAGCCGGAGTTTCCAGGTCATGTGGTACTGGAGCAGTACCAGGCTCAGGTGGGGGCAGCCCTCCGGCCCGCCTTCTCCCCAGACACACCCTCAGATGTGACTGCCGCAGCGTGTGAGGTAAATACACGGATGTCTGCAACCTTGGCTTTAGTTATTGTATTCCGCCAACTGTACTGCATGTATAGAGCAGTCTCCCATTGTTAAAGATCCTTCAACAAAACGACCTACCTAGGACATAGCTGGAATATGAGTAATAGGATAATCCTTCACTCTACCACCTGTATATGCAGTGTTAGGCTTGAAAGAAATAATAAAAGAATTGGTTCTCAAGCAATGGCTTTTGAAAATATAGTGAAGGCAGGCGTTTTTTTGTTTTGTTTACTTATTAAATATTGTATGTAACCAAATAAACAGCTGTGTATAATCAACCTGACTAATATTTTTTTTAGCCTTAGGAACATGTACATATATTTTAATGGACATTACTTTGTATCCATTAATATGGGCAATTGTTAATCAGTAAGGTTTTATGGAGTTGTACCAGTGACATGAGTTAAGGTATAAACTTATTGCCAAAGAGTTCTTGAGTACTATTCTGTGCCGTTGCTGTTCAGAAATCCAGAGTTGATTCCACTGTCATCATCTACTTGTAAGATGGGTCCCACGTATGTTGATCTTGTATACATAGTGGTACGTACCTACCTACCTAGGAATAATGTTTATTATGCTAATTCTGACAGCTGGGTTTGCAATACCTGATATTCAGATGGAACCCTAAATGTTTAGTGATTAATGACACATTTGGACAAACAAGATGGTTTCTGTCATTCATTTGACATAATGAAGCAGATGAAAGCTGAGGATGTGATTGGTGGCTTGCTATATGTGTGAGAAAAATGGTCCACATTTGGAAAAACAAGATGGTTTCTGTAGTTTATTTGACATAATGAAGCAGATGACAGCCGAGGATGTGATTGGCGGCTTAATATATGTGTGAGAAAAATGGTCCACACTTGGAAAAACAAGATGGTTTCTGTCATTCATTTGACATTGTTGTCCCCAGGTGTGCAGTACCTGGATCGGGAGTGGGGTAGCGCGGGACCTCAATGATCTGCGGAGAGTCCACCAGCTGCTGGTGTCCTCACTCAGCAAGCTGAAGACGGGCAAGTCTCAGTCTCTCTTGTACAACGAAAGTGCTTCCACCATGGAGAAACTGGCGGTCATCAGAGCCTGGGCTGAGGTTTGTGTGGACAGATTTGTTGTTAACCTTCTTCCATCCTCAGTATCTTAAGAAGGCCAGAGACCATTTGCACAAAGCGATCTTAGAACTACAACTATCGTAAGCCTATGTTCAAGTTTGGAAGTTACGATCATCTTAGCACTAAGATCGTTTTGTGCAAGTGAAAACTTTTGAAAATATGTCTTGTGTGATCTAACAGTGATAAATATAGTAGGTCTCAGTCCATCACAAGATCAGTAGTGATCAGTAGTGTAAGTGGAAGAATGTAACGAAGATCTGGCACCATTGAACAGCAGTGCAATAAATACCACAATGAAAAGGTTCCTGACAGGATGTAACAATTCTTTGATAGTCATTTCTTGGAAGTTGACAGATTACAATGTAGACACAGTATACCATTGTCAAGCAAGACGGATGTAAACATGTATATATATTTGACAGGTGTACATTGTGGCGATCGACCGCGAGCAGGAGAAGCAGCAGCAGACCAAGGAGAAGATGAAGGAGGAGTACAATGACCACAGCGGGGAGTCCCTCCTCAGTCTGGTCCAGCCCGAGTTGTCTACCCTTAGTGAGCACTGGAACAACGCCCTCAGGGACCATGCTCTCCTCTCTCTTCCTTCAGGTACGGGCGACATACATGTGTAACATGATGTTCCTTGTTGGATTCCTCGTAGGAATACATGTCTGTGTTAATGAAATACTTGTGTCTTTGTTATCTTGCACAGAATGGTGAAGTAGCTTAGTGGTTTTGGTGTTGGCTTGTCATGCTGAATATCAGGGTTTGATTCCCCACATGGGTAGAATGTGTGAAGACTTTCCTTGGTGTATTCTGCCATGATACAGCTGGAATAATGTTTCGAGAAATGTAAAAAGTTCATCACTCACTGGCAGTTATCATGAAAGATGCTTATTCCTATGGTTATCGCTGTGGTTCTTGATTCACTTTAAATGTCCATGTCATCTTCCTCAATCTGCTGACTAGTTCAATGTAGCCATTTGATATCAGTCATTTCTACTTAAATTGGCAACACAAAAGGTGTTTGTTTTGTTTTGTAGATGAGCAGTAAGAACGCAAGAATAACATCTATCACTGTTGTTTGGTATAGGCATTGCTTCATACTAACCATGGCATATTGTTCCCATATTTTTATTAAAACGATACATTTAGTATTAAACCCTTAATTCAATTGATATATCTCATTCAGAAAGATACATGATTCAGACAACAAACCTTCTGCTTCTTTCAGAATATTCAAGTCAGCTGCCGACTGATGGTGGTGCTTTTTACCATCCTGACACAATTGAGACAGCACGGCAGCACTACAAGAAATCCTGGCCGCCTATCCTGTACGCTTTGTGTGTGTGGTTGAAGGAGAAGGGACTAGGTGATCCCATGGGAGAGAAGTCGGGAGAGAGGGAGGGGGTGCCTCATACAGTCGGCCCCCTCAGTCTGCAGCCGGCTAATGTTCCAGCCAACATGAAACCACAGAGTCTCAACCAAGACAGATTCTATCTCATCCTTGGTGAGTCTTCACAAGTTGTTAAATTCAGCTGTCCGTGTACTCCATAATTTGTTTTAGACATGTTTCTCTTATGACATTTCTTCATCATGTCCTTGGAGCCTTTTAGAAGACTTGGGCTAGCAGGTTAAAGTTACCTGATTGTGTAACATAATCGTCAAAAGTTGTTACCCCCGTGAGGAATCCGGGTTAGAATAGGTCCCCAGCAACCTATGCTGGTTGTAAGAGGGGACAAAATTTGATTGGGTGGTCAGACTCTGTGACTTGGTTGATTGTGTGTCTTCGTACCTTGATGGGATGGATCATTGCTCACAATATCCATCATTTGATCGTCTGGTCCTGACTTGATTGTTTACAGGCCATCATCATATTGCTGGAATATTGCTGAATGTGGCGTTAAACAACATGCGCATGCACACACACGCATTGTTAAGTCAGAGGTCAAGTCATGATCAGGGATTGACTCCATCATCTAAACCTGACTTACCTTAATTCATTTATATGGAACACTACAACCTTAATTCATTTAAATGGAACACTACACTTTTTAGGAAACTACTATAGTTTTTCTAAATTTTACCATGTCATTGACTCGCAGATTAGTGGCTTTGGCAAACTCTAATTATTCCTAAAATGATGTATGTGAATTGCCTGCTTGTGGTTTATAAATATTTATATTTTGTTGTGAATGCATGACAGTTCCATTATCATTTGCTCAAATTCAAATAAATATTTGATTGGAAAATTTCCATTGAGTTGAATTTCCTCTTAATTCTTGTAATTGCAGATTGATTTATTCTTTCATGAATCCCAAGGTGACATTTTTGTTAGTGGTACTGAAAACTTAAGATAATGATCAAATAAAACCTCTTAATCCAATCATAACAATTATTCAATGTATTTTCCGCCAGGTATTTGCATGGAGTCTTTATGCAGTCCGACATCTCGCCTGCCCAGTGAGACAGCCGACCAGTGTCTGAAGGGCCTGTATGCTCTGCTGAATGCCAAGTGGTCGCGGAGACAGCTCGGAGAGGACCCAACACTCTCCCGAGAACTTCTCAATGTCATGCACAGGTCTGTCTGTAACCATGCTGAATCCACTAGCCTTTCATTGAGTCAGTGGGTTGGGTGTAATGTTGCTTTAAACAGTCGTTCTGTCACATCCTGGCCTGTCACCTTAATGTGGAAGCAGAGCTCATGTTTCATGTTTTGTGGATTGCATGAAGTGTGGGTATGGTGCTTATGAACCAAACAAGATTTGTAATGAGGGCAAATCTGAGATTTATCCCCTCCACTGACAGGCACAAATCTGCACAGACAGTTTGGGGTGCCAGGGACCACTCTGGAACATTAGGGATCACTCAGGACCACTGCCTACATCCACATAACTTGGTTGTGTAGGCCTATTTAGCTTCCAAGCCAACATGTTGTTAAAACCATTTCTCTCTCTGATTATAATACTTTTCCTGTTTGTATTACCTGTACTAATGAAAAAATGGTCCCCTTGTTAATCAAACTATCTCAGGACTTGGGCAATAAGTAGATTCATGTATCCATAATGATGCAGGTGAGTCAGGTGTGATTGGTGGCTTGCTATATGTGTGAGGACTTTTCAGGGTGATCTTGACTCGGGACACTGTGGCAACACAGCACCTGGCGGTAGACGTGGTCCGGCAGGTGCTCCGGGCAGCACTAGAGAACCTGGAAATGGAGAGAGTCAAGCTTAAAGGTAGGACAGAGTTCACAGCATCCTCTATTAACAGTTTATGGATTGTTGTGGATGGAATATTCAAGATAACTGTTTGAATGAAGCGTTTTCCAACAGCCTAGCATAACAAAAATAACGAAAAAATGTCGCACAAGATAAATTAAATGTGTGCAATACATTACAAAAGAATTTGCATACCAAAAATTTAGCAAATGCAAAAAATTTGTGATGAATATTCTCTGATTTTGTATCAAAGGGTCGGTTAATCCCTCCTGAATTTAGTTTCTTGATTAAGTTCATCATAAACATAATACAAACGATGTGTGTATTTTTTTAAATATTTGAATGAAAACAGTTATAATCATGTTATGTTAACATAATAGTTTAGATTTGTTTTATTCTACTATGTCAAGTTGACAATATCAGTGCCAATGTCTGACCCTTCTCACAGTCAGTGTCATGTATTGTCATCTGCAGAGAAGGAACTGAGCACGCCAAGTACAACCGAGAGCAGTACGGACTCCATGGACACAACAGACAGCACCCAGGTGGCAGGAGAAGGTGGTGAGACCGGGGACATCGAGCCAGGGAAGTCCGTGGTGTTTGCCTCCCTGGAAGTCTGTCTGTGTGTCCTGGTGAGACAGATCCCGGCAATGAACCCCTCAGCTCCCACTACAGGCTTCCAGATCCCCACCCACCTGATGAAGCTGTCGGAGGAGGCGGGGACTCTCATTTCCTTGGTCATCCAAGTAATGGCTGACCTCCCCAGCCTCTGCTCTCCCACAGGTGAGAACACACATCATTGTGCCATGTGCTTTGTGGGATTAGAGTTATCCCCCTTGGATTGTGAAGTTTCTCGTCAACCCTGGATATAATGAAGTCTAGCATACAATATAATATAACAAAGAAAACATTTATTGGAGTTCTTTTGACAGAAGATAAAGGTAAACTGTAAAATTGATGGAAAAATTAAATAGTAATTACATCCCACATGCGACATGTTTAGTGAACACACCAGTAAATCTTTCTATGTGTTACTTTTTTCCTCATCAGTGTTTTGAAATGATGGAAAATTTACATGGATTTACCAAGTATCTCTTGGTTGACTTGTGTTGACATCTTGTTAAAGTGAATATGAAAGTACATTCGTCATTTGCTATTTCACCTTGATCTGTCCCATTCCAGGTGCTGTATCAGTTCTACCCACAATCCTCCACCTAGTTACCAGGGTGATGCGAGAGGTCGCAGCAAGGTCAGCTGAGAAAAAGGTTCCGGCTGTGATTGGTGCGTGTCTGCAGGCCCTCAAGTCCCTGTGCACATCGGTCTACCTGGAGGATGAGCTGGTGGGGCAGGACTGGCTCCTCATACTGCAGAGTTCCCTCGCAACCATCATACACTACGCAAGACCAGGTGTGTAACTGGGAGATACCACACTCGATTATACAGTGTATCATCATGATACATACCCATGACCCATTTGCTAATATAGCTTTGTTTTGACCCCGAATGGAATAGTATGATGCTAAAAAAAGCAGTCCAATCAAATTACTGTCCTGATCAAGAGGGGTTCTGTGCAAAGTTAGAGACAGGAACAATGGAGGTGTTGAGGTCACTTGCATGATAAAGCTGGGTCCTGATTATTTATCAAAATAGAACAAGGGGTGCGGGCCCAGACATCTTATCTGCTGAAATTCTCTGTGCAGAGTTGCATCCCTTGGCCACACCAGTAACTCATGATAGTGGGTTCGAAGCCCAGTTCGCCCTGATGATATTTATAGGTCTGTCAGCACCATGCCCCTGCTCGTGGGTTTCACCAGAGTGGTAAATGTCTGCGACCTGCAACTCAGAACTATGACTACTATAATATTCTATTATAGTCTTATGATAGTTGAAACACTAAAATCAGGTTGTGGATTGAGGCTCTGTCTGATAGTGTGCATTGAATTTTAATAGTGACATTTGAAAACTTTTTGTGTGCTTATAATCAAAAGATGTAAATGTCATATATGAAATTTTTGTGTATCATAATGTATATCTGATCACTTCCTTGTATCAGAAAGTGTGTCATGTATTCTTGTACCAATATGTCATATATGTGTGATACAAATTTCATGTTATTATGTTTACAGGTGAAGATTCAGCAGGTCTTGACGAGAGCACTCTCATCCTGGCCTTAGCAGTCTTCACAATGTCTTGTCCAAGGGAGATAACCTCGGTCCCAGCTCTCCTGGAGCCAACTCTCGAGATATACAAGGAAGCCTTGCAGTCAGACAACATTGAGGTAAACATGGAGGTGGATGGATAGAGAGATGTTTTCTTGAGCACCTCAACAACATGGAACTTCCTAGAATATGAAAGTAGTGACCTTGAAAAATACAGTCAACTAAAGGGATAGAACAAGGACTGGTCAGCTCAGTCTTCCCATGGCAAGGGAGTTAACTGACTTTTAAAGTCCAGATTCCACCCTTGCCAAACTAGGCTGGATCTCTGGACTCGATTCTAGCACCACCAGTCCCTTCTATGTCCCTCCTATTGACCAATCAGATTCCACCCCCACATGACTTGCATTTGCTTCAGATAAAACTTAGAAAAATAATAGAATCAGTTCTCAAGCAATGGCTTTTGAAATTATTGCACGGGCAGGCTTTTTCTTTTCTTTTTTTGAGGGGGGGGGGGGGGTGATCAAGCTAGTATGTAACCAAAGTTTTGTTTCTTAAGTATTGTAGCATTTAACTGGACAGCAGTTTGTGAACCGGATGTTGATTTTGTTACAGGATTTTGATTGGACAATGCATAGACTCGTTAGTCCAGCCAAAATATGACTCCATCATTCCATCCCAGTTTGGCAAGGGTGGAAACTGGACTTTTATAGTCAGTTAACTCTCTTGCTCGGGATGACTGGTCAACTCAGAGTCAGTAGTATGATATCTCAGTGGCCTAGCAGTAAAACTGGCATGGGTCCGGATTAATGCATCCGCATCACTATATAAGTGAAATAATCTTAAATGTGTGAAGGACACCTGAAAACTTGTTTTCATGCTTTCAAAATCATTCATTGCATGGGGGTGTTTAGTGGAGCAGGGCACTGAATATTATCGGTACATTATTTCTGATACGAATAGAATGAGCCTTTTGGTGAATGTTTAAACATGAATGTCTCCTTGCAGCTGAAGGTCAAATGTGTTCAAGCCATTGTCTCGATTCTTCAACACTCGGACAGTCAGATTGCCACACCCTATATTCATGCCCTGGCACCAAAAGTGATTGAGTTCTTGTACTCGATTTCGACATCGCGGCCAACGTCGGACTTGGAGCTAACCTTAGTGTTGGAGTCTTTGAGAGTTGTAGAGACGCTGGTGAACCTTGCCGAAGACAGCAAACGTAAGTACAGAACATTATGAACGGGGAGGTTGATTCTCGGGCACTCAAGCCATTCAAGATAGTATTTTGTTTGTGTTTTACGTCCGAGATGGCCACCTGTATATATGTCCAAGATGTCCCTAGATAGCTGGCATATTTGCCCATGTGTAAGTACGCTTTCGAAGACAGCAGTTGTCAGTTGGTAGAATGGAGATAAACCTGTTTTTAAATTTGGAGTAGCCATATGTTAATTAGAAAGCGCTTATATATATTCTCTCGAAACAAAGTCAGGGACCACCCGATTCATATAATTCTTACGAAGTCTCTACCTCTATTGCATCTCTGCCATAAATCCTGTATTTCTTCTTATTATAGTTATTCTGTCATGTTACTATAATTGTGCCATGACTGATCAACTACTGTAATATGAAAGAATCAGGTGATCCTTAACTTTTGTTGAGTAGTATACATCAAGCTAACGGGCTCAACTTGAAATTAATATAAGAAGTATCTAATGGAATTTTAAACAGATAGTTTTATTTCCTAAGTCACTCACACTTTATCTGCCTATTCTGTGCTAAATGTCTTCTTCATCCCTCCATGTCAGAATGATTAGATCTGATTGGTCTATGTGAACTTCATAAAATACTTGGAGGGAAATAAATTTCTCAGCAAGGGGAGAAATCTAGCAAGTCAGGCTGCACTTGGATTTTTGGGAGGAAAAATCCCTTATAACCTGCTTCCAAGCAAAAAGCTGCACGCTTTTTCCGAGTCAGTGGAAGTCTTGTGACATAGGGCAAGCTAACCTCAGATCAATCGAACAGCCGTTTTGTATCAATTTTGAATTTGTTTGTATTCTTTTACAGTGTCATATTAAAACATGTCGTTAAGATACAATTTACATAATATTCCAACCTTGTCTTGTTCCAGGTGTGACTCTGCTAGCCCTCCTGGTTCCCATACTCATCTCATATCTCCTCGAGGAGAAATCCCTGACCACAGCGGGCCAGCCGTCAAGAAGCCTTCACGGTGAAGCACTACAGAAGATCATGAAGATCGGGCCTTTGTACCAAGAACAATTCAGAACTGTCATGAGTATGTCTGCTGACCTCAAACCTCGGTTAGAAGCTGCTGTGAAGATTAACCAAGCCGCGATAACAAGAGCAAAGTCACAACCGACAACCAAGGTTATATCAGAACCAGTTAAACCGACTATTACCCTAAAGACAGATTTTAGTAATTTCACTGGATAGAACTCCGATTGGAAGAGATGTGGACTTCATGCTATGGATCTGTCGGAGGTTCACATCAGATATACTTCAAATTATGTATATATTTGAAGAAAATCTTGGGTTTTCGTGATATGTGAACAGAGTTGTGTACAGACAGGATATTTATATGTGTATGATATTCCCTTGCCACGTCAAATTTGTGGTTTTCGACATCAGTAGCAAAGAGGCTATGTATATTATTGTACATTTCCCTCTGAACTTGCACACCTACGCAATGTCTAGTCAGCAAGTTTCAAACATCACGGTTCGAGTATCCAAACTTGTTAATTAATTGTTGATATTCCACTGCCAACACTAGAGCTTGACAATATTATAGCGCGAAATGGTTAGCATCATGGACCATGTTAATTCATTCGAATGCATACACTGTGTGAACATATGGCAAGGACGTTTCTGTTGATTGAACTTCATTGAAATCAAAACCTGAAGAAACCAATCACTTTTTAGTCACTTTTTAAATGATCAAATCCATGATATATTACCAATGGTTGTGTACAGTCATATGCTTTTGGATGTGAAATTTGGCACAGAGAGACCATTGTGCTTGTAGGTTTTAGATAGTAGATTGTTTCAGCAAATGTTAATGTGTCATGTCTGTTACAACATTAATAGATTCCATCAGTTATTTCTATAACCATTATCATGTATCATAATTCTCTGAAGGATATTTTGTGCACCTGTCCTTTTAAAACTTCTAGGTGTCACATTATTTAAAATCTTATTATTTTAGAATAGATAGAAATATCATTGTCTTACCATGTCATGTTTGACTTCAAAGCAAGGCACACCAATTACTAAACTGGTTTCTTTATTAAATAAATTTGGATTATATTTATAGCAAAATAGTCCCTTTTAAGGATTATGCCGGAAGTCAGAGAGTTGTTACTCGTTATTGATGTTGAACTTTGGTTCTCAGGGAGAAGAAATTTGCAAACTGAAAATATTAAAAATGGCACCTCCATTTACCTGTGAAATTAAGTCTGTATATGTTAATTGTTGAGTTTATATAAAATGATGTAAATGAAATATTTCTCATTGATATGATTTGAAAGAGACATTACATCTGCCATTGGTAAGCTACGAAATTATGGAAGTGGATTTTAGCAGTTTGTATATTTGTAAATAGTTGTGAAAGAGAAAGTTGACTGATTATGGGGAAAGTAACTTTATATATAAAACCTATTTTGATATTATACGGGGACATGTGTTGGAGCTGGTATCATTTCTGATGGGGAATTAGTTCCAGATGATTTCAGAAGACGTGATTTGTGTTCGTATCCGATGAATGAGAGTGCCACATGGTTGTAACAAGGGATCATGACATCAGTGTTTAAACTGAATAAGTCTACGCAGTGATGGAGTGGCAGTTTAAGTCAGGGTCAAGGAATGCATATCTCATGAATGTATGCAATGGTTTAGATTACACTGTTAAAACTCTACGCAAGAGCACACAATAAAAGCCTGGGACTGGGTAATGAATGAAAAGTATGAGATGATATGTCGTCCAAACTACTGCAAGATTTCACACACGTATTTCTCGGCAGACATGCAGATCCATATAATGATATCCTACAATTTGGTGAAGTATATTTTAACCTCTATCGATTTGTAGTTTTATTAAATGGTATCCACCATCTTTCATGTTAAACTCTTTGCTTATAGAAGGAGCAATATTTTTTACGATGATCTTAATGTTACCAGATCATAACGTGACTAAAGACACTCTTGCAATGTTCGTAACATTGTCCTACTAGATAGGATTGGAAGCTATGCTAGTACTGGTGATTGTTTAATAGCCAGCTTTAAGTGAAAGGATTAGTTCAAGTTTAACACTGATAAGTAGGGATGATGAACAAAAACAGTGCATCCCATTTAATGTCTGGTAAATGCAGCTGTTTTTTATTCATGGAAAGATCCTACAACGATTGATTGGGAAAAGATGTCTGTTTAACTATTGCACTAGGACATAATGGCACTTGCAGTTTCTCCTTCCCCACTGTGGGTCAGCGCTAGTGTTAATATTTATACTGGAGGCAATTCAGAGTTTGTGCTATTTATTAATGTGAGTTAATTTTTTATAGTTTATTGTTTTTTCTTATGTATATTCATATCTTTGTAAATTCTGTGCAGTTATACAAAGATGTTTATTTTCAATGTTTTTCGTCACAATAAAATAAGACTAGTGCTAAAACATCAGTAAGATTTATTGTGGATATGTATATGTGACAGAACAGCAGCTTAAAACAGTTTTACTCGTTTTTCTAGAACAGGTCAGATAATAATATAACACAGTATGGGTTTATATTAAATGTTATGATTTTATGGTACATTCCAGTTATATATCTGAGTAGGGTGAACACCAAAAATATTTGTTGGCCCTTAATTTTAGACATTGGAGAAATGCAGAAAAATTGACCTAGGCATAAATGTGATGGATACTATCCGAGATATTTCAACTTATATTGAATTTCATTGAAATTGTAATAACAAAAAGTCATCTATTTTCAACAAATTAAAAGGGTGTGGTCACAATTTCATGTCATTTATCAAATCTGTAATCACTTTTAGGGCCCAGAACTTTCATCTGTGATTCATGACTGAGTGCTTTCTTAAAGTTTGTATGTGCTTTTAATGTTAAGTTTATGTAAATATTGTTGTTGCTATGTGGAAAAGAGCTTTGTACAAAGTATTATGTAAACCCTATGTGTTATATCATGTGTTTGTACTTTTGTTTGCTATATGGAACAAATTTATTTGCTTGATTAAAAAAAATGCTTAATTGAGTTTTAATGAATGCCTCTGGAATGTAAATAAACATTGAAATATCTTACAATATATGTCTTATTATGTCATGTATTTTGTGAAAGCAGTGAACAAAGAAAGGAAACGTTTCATGCTTGGACAGATGGAACAAATCTGTGGTATGGAACAGAAACCATTCGGCCTTGTATGGAAGAGACATCACTTGGTCTTGTATTGAACACAAATCATTCAGCTTCACATGAGAACAGAAACCATTCGGCCTTGCATTGAACAGAAACCACTCGGCCTTGTATAGAGAGACATCACTTGGTCTTGTATTGAACACAAATCATTCAGCTTCATATGAGAACAATAACCATTCGACCTTGCATTGAACTGAAACCAATCGGCTTTGAATGGAAGACATCACTTGGTCTTGTATTGAACACAAATCATTCAACTTCATATGATTTGGTTGATTGGTTTGTTGTTTAACGCCGCACTCAGCAATATTACAGCTATATGATGGCGATCTGTAAATAATCGAGTCTGGACCAGACAATCCAGTGATTAATATCATGAGCATCGATCCACGTAATTGGGATTGATAACATGTATCAACCAAGTCAGCGAGCCTGACCACTCGATCCCGTTAGTCGCCTTTTACGACAAGCATAGTCATCTTTTACGGCAAGCATGGGTTGCTGAAGACCTATTCTACCCCGGAATCTTCACGGGTCTCAGCTTCATATGAGAACAGAAACCATTTGGCCTTGCATTTAACAGAAACCACTTGGCCTTGTTTGGAACAGAAATAACTCGGCAACTATACAAGAGAGACATCACTTGGGCCTGTATTGAACACAAATCATTCAGCTTTATATGAGAACAGAAACCACCCGGCCTTGCATTGAACAGAAACGACTCGGCTTTGTATGGAAGAGACATCTCTTGGGCTTGTATTGAACACAAATCATTCAGCTTCACATGAGAACAGAAACCACTCGGCCTTGTATTGAACCGAAACCACTTGGCCTTGTATTAAACAGAAACCACTCGGCCTTGTATAGAGAGACACCACTTGGGCCTGTATTGAACACAAATCATTCAGCTTTATATGAGAACAGAAACCACTCAACCTTGTATTGAACAGAAACCACTCAACCTTGTATTGAACAGAAACCACTCGGCCTTGTTTGGAACAGAAACCACTCGGCCTTGTATAGAGAGACATCACTTGGGCCTGTATTGAACACAAATCATTCAGCTTTATATGAGAACAGAAACCACTCAACCTTGTATTGAACAGAAACCACTCGGCCTTGTTTGGAACAGAAACAACTCGGCCTTGTATAGAGAGACATCACTTGGGCCTGTATTGAACACAAATCATTCAGCTTTATATGAGAACAGAAACCACTCAACCTTGTATTGAACAGAAACCACTTGGTCTTGTTTGCAACAGAAACCACTTGGCCTTGTGTGGAAGACATCACATGGTCTTACTTGGAACAGAAACCACTTGGCCTTGTATTGAACTCAAATCATTCAGCTTTATATGAGAACAGAATCCACTCGGCCTTGCATTGAACAGAAACCATTCGGCTTTGTATGGAAGACATCACTTCGTCTTGTATTTAACACAAATCATTCAGCTTTGTATGAGAACAGAAACAACTCGGCCTTGTATTGAACAGAAACAACTCGGCCTTGTTTGGAACAGAAACCACTCGGCCTTGTATAGAGAGACATCACTTGGGCCTGTATTGAACACAAATCATTCAGCTTTATATGAGAACAGAAACCACTCGGCCTTGTATTGAACAGAAACCACTTGGTCTTGTTTGCAACAGAAACCACTCAGCCTTGTGTGGAAGACATCACTTTGTCTTGTTTGGAACAGAAACCACTTGGCCTTGTATTGAACACAAATCATTCAGCCTTATATGAGAACAGAAACCACTCGGCCTTGTATTGAACAGAAACCACTTGGTCTTGTTTGCAACAGAAACCACTCGGCCTTGTGTGGAAGACATCACTTGGTCTTGTATGGAACAGAAACCACTCGGCCTTGTATTGAACAGAAACCACTTGGTCTTGTTTTGAACAGAAACCACTCGGTCTTGTTTGCTACAGAAACCACTCGGCCTTGTGTGGAAGACATCACTTGGTCTTGTTTGGAACAGAAACCACTTGGCATTGTATTGAACACAAATCATTCAGCTTTATATGAGAACAGAAACCACTTGGCCTTGTTTGGAACAGAAACATCTTGGTCATGTATAAGCACACCTCACCAGTTAATATGACAGCTTTCTGAATGTCTACAAGCCATTACAGTCATTTACTAAACATTAATCCCCATTTCACCTCACTTTATTTGACCTGAAACAAGTTTATTTTTTGGGCTTAATGGTTTGATTATTAATGGCAGCTTACTGTGCCAAACAGCAAAACCAAGTTGACAAAATGCTCATTCTCAGTTGAAGGTAAAAAAAATGTATGTTAGTAATAATTTACACACAAGCATAAAGAAATATGTTCGTAAAGTTAAAAGCGAGATAGATGTCACAGACAACAATAATGTCAACAAGTAGCTTATTTACTGTAGTTTATAGTACTATGTAACAATTAGCAGTAAATTCTAAAATGTTTTAGTAATATAAACAATCTAATATGTGATAACCATAATTAATTACTTAATATATGATAACTAAAAATCGATTTCGTTATATCTGGGCAACTGTCTACAGAAACAAGTAAAGCGTTTAAAGGCGTAGCGCGAATCAACAGTGGAACCAGTTTATTACCATTTTGAGAGACTGGAGCCCAGTCAAATGTCTGGAGAGAGAGTTGCGTCCCTTGTTCAAATTCATACGCCGATAGTTAAAATGAATGTTTCAAAATTCATTTTGCTGACAAGATATTTTAATATTACAAGGGTTAATGGGTCCTATGATGCTGCATGGATGTTAAACGTAAAATTCTCCTTCCAAAAAGAATGCACTCTATGTTGTTTCCATGACAACGTGAACGGCATCGGAAGTTGTGACCAGGCTCACCAGCCTTCACTTAAGTCGAATCCAAGGTGTGATCGTTCACAAACACTGATAAGACCCAGCTCATATTTGCAAGATGTCAGCAGGCGGACGAAAATTGTCTCCCGGAGAAGCCCGTGATTTGGGCGAGCAGCGAGAGTCGTGGTGTGCTGTTGAACTTAAAAAGGAGCAGGATTGGTGCCGCAAAGAGAGAAAACACAACAAAGAATTATTTTCGAGCACCGTGTTTGATGAACATGCTCCAGAATATGAGCCGAGATGCACGTTCAGTGTTGACGCACCGACACATAGAGAACGACGTCATTTCAAAAAGCAGTGTGAGTATCTAAACCATAAACATTGTTAATTAATTAATCTAATTTAATAATCAAAGTGGATTCACATAATATTGCTGTTACTCACATCTGTACCTGCCTGCTACAACTCTGTTATGAATTATAATACAGAGAATTATCCAGATTTAGTGGTCCTACCATAGATCAACTGAACCACTTTAAAAATGCTGAAAACACATAACCAACCTTAACTCGAAAATCAGAAAAGATGTGTTTTTGTGATCAGCTCCATCTTTCCAAACACTTCAAATGAGATATAAAACCCTTCAACAACATTGGAGTTGTTTAGGGCTTAAAATGTGGATTGTTCTTTATGAGAACAAACAGCACTTGCAATGCCAAACTCGAACCTACAAATTGAAACATGACAAATTGTGCACAAAGTCTTGGTCAGGTTTATGCAAAATTTCTCAAAAGTGTGTGTATATATTTATTATTTTCTGTCTTTTACTTTACTTTGCAGATGATGGCCAGCTGAAGATTTAAGCACATTCTACCATCACAAATCCAGCCTCAGTATCTCTTGTCATTTAATAACCAGATGTCTGAGAGTTATGCTTCAACTTTTTTGTTTTGGCGGAATTCCTACAGCTGCAGACAACTTGTGCTTTCCCATGTTCTCTTTTAAACCATGTTAGTGATATAATTGAAAGTAAGGTCAACAATGTTCCTGTTCCTCTATTAGCCGACACAATTTTCATGTTGTATATATCCAATAATCTGGAACGCTGAAACCACATAGCCCTGAATATACATGTCAGGCATCTCTTCATGAGATGATGGCAGACATGGTTAAAGCTGTGCATTGTTTTCCCTAGAGGGATTTAGAGAATCAAATGTGTATCAGAGGGCTAAATCAAAAGTTTCTTTTTAATAACACAATCATACATACCGGTAGTTAATGATTATCCTTCATTTTGACAATGTTGACATATGGTCTTAATTTTAAGTTCATACTGTTAGATAATTAAGTTTGTCATAAACTGATAACAAATATTTATTTACATTTTGAACTTGTTGCCTGTGATTTTATCAGTCCATGTATGGTTTTTATGCATCATACTTCAATATTCAGGTTTATCTGCTTGTTATCCACATATTGTGAACCACCATAGTTTTTTAAGGTACACTGAAAAAAGGTAATACTCTGTGTACTGGATAGTTTTCAGAAAGGTATTATTATTATTAAAGGCCCCTAAAAAAATAAATTATGTTCAATTCAGTAGATGTCATTACATATGTATTAAATGCCATTTTTTAAAGGCATATGTTTTTAAAAAGAATATTTTCCTGAGCATGTTGAATGTCATACCCGTCTTGCTTGGTGGACTTTTGAGTTAGTATCTTAACTAATTATATTTGGGTTGCATTTAACCTTTAAGGCTTTTAACAACAAACAGTTGTGATGTTTGTGAATCGCATTAAAATTAGATCTTAGTGGTTGCTATCGCTAAACAAACCTAAGAGATGAGCACTAAGATATGATTTTAATGAGATTGGATGTTTGGCCTCTGTGCATGTGTGTGTCAGAATCAGTGTTGTGTGGCTTAGTGTCTGTAGTGTTGTGTAAGATGGATAGAAATACCATGAAAAGTGTAGTCAATAATTGGTAACAATTAGCAACCTCAGCTTATTGGAAGCTCAAAATCATGTGAGTTCAGGTAGTTATTTATCCTGACAGATGATTATTTGAGATGTTCACAGTCCGTATAAGTGGTCACATTTTCGAATGTAACAGTACAGTATTATACTACAGTATTCACAGCCTAGTGATTGTATTGTTTTTGTGTCATGTTAAATCAGTATTCAATCAAGTCTTGGCTTTACTACAGTCAATTGTTGATTCAATGTTAGTGAAGTATCAAAATGAGTGAGTCTTTCAGATAATTCATGATGCATCAGTATTAATGGCTTGTTTACAAGCTTGCATGGGGTATATGAAATATAATGCATTCTCAATGTCACGATCAACAGTATTATTCAGTTGTTGTTTTACCAGTAATATACATTTACAAACATGCTTGTTTTGAATCACTTTTGTGTGCACATACCTGTAAATAATAAAGCTTATTTTTCACAAATCTGTTTTTGTTGTCAGGGGGTATACAAGTGAAGGAGTGAAGAAATCAACTGCACATTTTAGGTGAACACAAATTACCCTTGTGGTGATTACAAACACACATGCTTGTATGGGTAGACTACAGAGTGGGGGGGCATGGGTGGCCCAGTCGTCTAAGGCGCCGCGATTTGCTGTGCTGAGTTGCGTCCCTTGGGAACGCCAGAAACCTATGATTGTGGGTTCCAATCCCGATTCGCCCCGATTATGTTTCTAGGTTTGTCAGCACCATACCCGTGCTCGTGGGTTTCATCGAAGTGGTAAACGTCTGAGACCTGCATCACTTCGGGCTTTCCTCCCACATTAAGCTGACACGCCGTGATATAACTGGAATACTGGAATAAGTGGTGTTAAACCCAACTCACACACACTACAGTGAGTGGGAGAGGGATAATCAATGGATAAGCCATATGATTATCCAACCATAAAGATTGAAATACACGGTTGGCATTCCTGACAGACTAAGCACACAAGACAGACCATGTATTATTTTATTTACATTCTTTTTACAAGGAAACTTGCAAGTTTTGGAAACAGTTTAATAGCATTCTGTGTTGTAATCTGCCTCACATCAGAAGGGTCCATCTTCTTTACTTTAGCAATGTATTCACAGGACAGGACGATATTGGACGGGGTGTTGCGTGTCTGGCATGAAGAGAGCAATGGTATAGAGCACATTGTCTGGATGTATCATAAAAGGATCACATGAAATGATGACAGGTGTCAACACTAAAAAATGTCAAAGTACTTTCTTCACCATTAATGTTTTCATCTAAGAATTATTGTTCACAAACTCCTATTCACATGTATGCAATAGTGATCAATTAAGAGCACATATTGTCCGGATGTATCACAAAAGGATCATATGAAATGTTAAAGTACTATCTTCTTCTTTAATGTTTCTGTTCACAAACTCCTATTCACATGTATGCAATAGTGATCAATTAAGAGCACATATTGTCCGGATGTATCACAAAAGGATCATATGAAATGTTAAAGTACTGTCTTCTTCTTTAATGTTTCTGTTCACAAACACCTATTGATATGTATGCAATAGTACCGGTATCAGGAGAAGTGATGTAGTGATGTGTTGAAGTTTATTCTAGAAGTAAAAAGAAGACAATGTAATCCATATCCCCGCCCTTCTTAATGTTCATAAAATCACATATGTGAGTATACCAAATTACTAATAAAAAATATGGTTAGTCCAAAAGATAGTGACATGACAAATCCTGAAGTGAATGGGAGTTTCACAAAGAACTAGTGAATGGTTTTGTTATGCTCTGGAAATGAAAAGTGATGATCTGAGTGACGGACAGAGCAAAACTTAGGGGATAATAACGTATTGACTCTCCATAATGCATTAGGAAGCAACCATTTGATTTTTGGGGGGAGGGAGATTGTTTGTTTCTAACAACATAATCAAGCCCCCGTGTCTCTGATTTTTTTACACATATGCCATGTGCCCTTTTCTTGCAGACTATATGAAAGTGCCCAAAGACCACAGTTGGTTGAGCATCTGTTTATGTTTGAAAAAAAAATTGAGCTCCTAAAAATTAAAAAAAATATGCTGATCTCAAAACGAAATTTCCTAACAACCCCCCTCCCCCACCACACACACACTGCCACACACACACACACACACTGCCACACACACTGACACACACACACTGCCACACACACACCCAACCCAGCTGAAATCAAATGGTTGCTACCTAAGTGTGACCCCAAATGCAGAATGTCACCTGTTTGACTGGGGCCAGGGCAGGGGCATCAGTCTCAAGGAGAAGGTGATCTATAGGAATCTGCCGCACAAACTTCTCTCTCTGACAACAAAAACATATAATGATTGTGTCCGAGTGGTATGTATTAAGGCTTCATGTGTGAATTTTTCACAACTGAAATCTGTTCTGAGTTTGACCCATCATCACTGATTACCTAGGACAAGGAAGGTCTCTCATATTGTGGTAAACAGACAATGCATGTAGAGATATTACTCACAAAATCTAAGTATAAATAATTAATGAAAGAGCTTCAACACTAGCTGGACTCACGTCTTCTGTCCTGGTGACAGAAGGGGGAATGGAGAAGTAGAAGCCGGCCTTCACCCCCTCCATGCCCACCGATGGCTTCCCGTCAAACGCATGCATCAATACCTTGCTGGCACCTGATCAGGCAAAACATATTTTCACTGTAACTTAGGAACAACGTAATGAGATTTGTAAAGACAGTGTGTTAACTTTCTGCTGAGATAAAGAATCATGTATTGCCCTTAAATTCAGAAAAACATATGTCTCCCCCCACTCCCCTAACCCCAATTCATTCGTTTACTTCACGTTAAACCCCATCTGTTCATTCCCACAAAAATAATTCACAATATTTTAATTCTAGAATTGCTTTGAATTCAATAATATTGAAAAGATCAAATTCTTAAATTTCATTAGAAGCAAAAGACACAGAAATATTGAAGGGGTGTTGAGTTTAGTTCTGGAACAAAGCCCATCCCAATACAGAGTCTAAGTTAAACTTGTCTCCATAAACAAGAAAAAATAAAATGTGAAAAACTTCTAAATAGCAAGAAGCACCACTTCAGGACTTGGTTAATATGTTACAACTTCATGAAATAATATTGAACAGTTTTTGAGTTATGGTCAGGAAACAAGGCTTACCCCCATTCAGAGCCTATGTTCAACTTATCTCCATGAAAACGAGAAAAAATAAAAATGTCAAAAATCTATAAATAGCAAAAGGCACCACTTCAGTGCTGGGTTATTGTGTATACAAAGTTTCGCGAAAAAATATTAAACGGTTTCTGAGTTATGGTCAGGAAACAAAGCTTACCCCCATTCAGAGCCTATGTTCAACTTATCTCCATGGAAACGAGAAAAAAATAAAATTGTCAAAAATCTCTAAATAGCAAAAGGCACCACTTCAGTGCTGGGTTAATGTGTATACAAAGTTTCGCGAAAACATATTAAACGGTTTCCGAGTTATGGTCCGGAAACCAAGCTTACCCCCATTCAGAGTCTATGTTCAAGTTATCTCCATGGAAACGAGAAAAAATAAAAATGTCAAAAATCTCTAAATAGCAAAAGGCACCACTTCAGTGCTGGGTTAATGTGTATACAAAGTTTCGCGAAAAAATATTAAACGGTTTCTGAGTTATGGTCCGGAAACGGTGGGAACGCCGACGCCGACGCCGACGCCGACGGGAACCGTGCCAAAAACAATATGTCTCCCTCCATTCTGGGGGAGACATAATACTTCTTCCTTTTGAGATCTTCTGGGAAGAGAAGGCCCCAAGTATCTTTGGCTGTCACCATGACTACATAATAGATGGAGAACTTACAACAGTACTGTTATTTGCTGCGCCCCTTGTGGTTTATTCTCCATGCAGTGTTTTATTGTACCACAAACAACCCCTCGTCATTGTTTCTTACCATTATGAGATATCAACATTATTTATAATCTCTGTTAGGATGTTAATAAAATTTACAAACATTAAAAGTAATTACTCATATTTAGATAAGGATGATTCCCTGAATACAATCCGATCTCAGCAATGCCGGACAAGTCCTTGTTATAAACAGGGGGGGGATTTAGCTGATGCATTTGTTTGCATAGCCCAGCTACATCTAAGGGGAAAAACTCACTACCCTCTCCAAAATAGTGTCATCCAATTTATGACCTCACCACGTTGCGAGTATGTGTTCGAATCTCCAGAAATGATGCCAAGATAGATCAACGTTTTTTTTCATGAAATAAACCAAGCCTTGTTCTTCATTGTTTTTTGCGATATATCGTGTAGCTATCTTATATAAGGACATAAATGTACAGTAGCAGGAACAAGAGGTAGGGCCTATTGTTCTCACAACTGTTCCTTTTCACCCTGACAAAATACAGTCACGAGTCCTCTATCTGTCACAGAGCACAACAAAAGCCTCAAGTTCCACGTACAGCATGTCCAAGTTCGTGGTGAACAGTTGTATGACATGTTTCCCAAATGATGAACTCACATTGAATTACTCCCTTTAGCTGTGCTCTAGATTGATGATTAAGTGATTATGTCCTCATGCAATGAATTCAAGTGTTGTTACTCATGCTATCAACCACTGGTTCATCTGGTACACACTTGCTGATTACTGCCTCTGAACAACATTAACTTGATAACGAACGTCGTCCAGTATATGACAGTTACCTAACTCCTTGAGAAGTGCTATGGTCGGCCTGCCTGCTGATCGGGAATGCACATTTCTGACAACAGATTGCAGATACAATTATTAAACAAATATAAAGACAGGTGAAAGTTAGTTAGTTTGTATTAATTTTGAATACTTCTGAATACTGACTTGGTTGATGCATGTAATCGTATCCAAATTACTTAGATCGATGCTCTTGATGTCTATCACTGGATTGTCTGGTCTGGACTTGATTATTTACAGACCGCCTTCAAATAGCTGGTATATTGCTAAGTGCAGCGTTAAACAACAAACAAACAAACAAACAAACAAACAAACAAACAAACAAACAAACTTACAAAGGAAGATCGTGCTTCTGAGCAATCTCCACCTGAAAAAAACAAAAAAACAAACATTAACAATTTCTATTTACATGATGAAACACTGATACACAAAAACAGTTGATATCTGAAGACATGTTACCATGGTTACTTACAAATCATGTTTTGGGGGCCAGCTGATGCCAGCAGCATCCCCTACCCACCTGTCTTGTCAACACAAGTTTCTGCATCTCTTTGTCACCCTCCTCTCGACAAAACCGGGGAGTAAAATCAAGCCCAACCTAAGAACAATAAAATAAACCAATACTAACCTGAGAGTTGAACACCAAGTTTTAAAGTCATGTTTGCCCTATAAATCATTTTTGCATATTCTCATAAAGGAATATTTCTTGTCCATATACTCAAAATTTAATGATATCAAATTGAGAATATTTATCCAACAATATCTTTAGAGTGAGTTTTAGAGTGAGTTTTAGAGTGAGTTTTAGAGTGAGTTTTAGAGTGAGTGAGTGAGTGAGTGAGTGAGTTGGGTTTAACGCCGCTTTTAACAGTATTCCAGTCATATTACGGCATGTCAGCTTAATGTGGGAGGAAAGCCCAAAGTGATGCAGGTCTCCGACGTTTACCACTTCGGTGAAACCCACGAGCACAGGTATGGTGCTGACAAACCTAGAAACAAAATTGGGGCGAACTGGGATTCGAACCCACAATCATAGGTTTCTGGTGTTCCCAAGGGACGCAACTCTGCACAGCGAAACATGGTGCCTTAGACGACTGGGCCACCCGTGCCCCCAAATCTTTACAGACTCTTGGACTAAAGTTACTTTCATATGACAGACACATAGCAATACAAGTATTAATTTCACCTATCATCTGAACATGAACGATGTGATATGTTGGTTATAACTTTGTGCTAGGATCCCTTGATATTTGTTGTTTTTTTACAATATATGTACGATTATCATATTTCTCACCTCCCCAACTGCACCGAGTCTGCCATGATGTTTGTCGATCAATGCCTCTGTATTGGTGATATCCTGGCAACAGATTGTACACACCATATAACATTGGCTCAAAAACCTGCATGAAATCATTCAACAATAAGTCACACTCATCCGTATTCCCCGTCATCTGTTCATACATTCAGGAATTTTATAGGTTGTCACATTATACTAAAAATAATTGTATAATAACAGTAGATCAAACTCATTTTATGATATATATTCCACAAAATAATAGAACATAAATTGCCAATCACAAAACGCACAGCTTCTTTTCAAGCTTGGGGTACCTGGAATCAGGGAGGACGGAGTGGAAGAGAACAATCTCATTAAAATCAGATCTTAGTTCTCGCTACCGCTAAACAAAGATCTGAGGACATCCTGTTAGGGGTCACATCAAAACGACCTTTCACCCGAACAATCAGAGCGTCGCTTATCAGATCATGAAAGTGACAGTCGGAATGTGATTTCTAATCGTTCAACCTCGAAAACTTCAACACGGGGTATTCCGAACAATAGTTACGGGAATAACGACTGAACCCATACAACCTAGAACATCTATTTAACCATTCAAGAATGTTCTTTTTTTCAGGTTTCAAATTCTTAATAGAGATTTTGTCAAAATATGTTTCGAAGCGTTGTCGCCAATTTGAAATTAGTACTGTAAAGCACGAGAAAGCTACCTTCTGATTGGCTAATGTCAACTTCTTGTCAGCCATTCCATTGGTCAGTCAAAGTTTGCGCAAGGTCGGTCTGACGTGACCCGTAATGGGGTGTCCTCAGATCTTTGTTTAACGGTAGCGAGAACTGAGATCTGATTTTAATGAGATTGGGAAGAGAAGGTCCCTCAACATTACCTGCAAATTGGCACTTCGTCTCTCCTGGGTTGGATCTCCCTGCAGAAAGATTTAGTAAATTTTACAATGAATTGTACATTTATACACTCTTTTGTGAGTCTTTCTTCCCTATCCATGAGCATTGTCTTGTGACACTTGACAGTGTTACTTAATATGGTTCTGTATCACTGTTTAACTGCTGTATATCCTATATGTTTGTTGCCTTTATATGCTAGGGATTTGCACCTCACCATCCAACTGTGGGATAAATGGATAGTGTGATAATAAGTTTAAAAATTTGTAAATTTTACAATAAATGGTATATTTACAAACTTATCCTATCTCACACGCTATATGCCCAGCCATCCATCCCCACATCACAATTCCACTAGCCTATTTAGCTCTAGAAAGAGATGAGTAGAGTGGAGAAATCCTGTGTTCAGCGCATGAAGGTGGACCGGCATGAAAAGCGTGCGTGACCCAGATTATTGGGAGGTGACTGCTAAGTTTTTGATGCTACCAGACTTCATAACTACCAACTACCAACTAACAGATAGAAGTGGTTGGTCATTGGATTTACTTCTCAGCTTCTAGAACGCCATCAGACAACGCTAACAGTGACGTAATGCATATGTGCGTACAGTAAGGGAGGTAATTCTCAAGCCATCAATACGTAACAGTGACCATGGTGACGCTAGATGTGTTCGGGTGGATCAATAATTTCAGAATCTGGAAACCTTTCTTTAGGCACATTTCCACTTTGGATCAAAAGAAGAATGAGAAATGCATAGTGGGAGATAGGTTTACAAATTAGGTTTATTTTACACATTCTAGATATGGCAATGTGGCATCATACAAGAACTTGACAGGGTGCAGGGAACTGCAGGGTTATATCTTATTCACTCCCAACAGTTAGAATTTTCAACTAAGTTACAAAGCAAGTGTTTTGTCAGGTTGGTTAATGCCAGTTGTATGGGTGTTTAACGCATGCTGTGAAATGGGTGTGCATTAGTGTAGAAATACGGCTGGGACGAGTGAGTAACTTGGGTACTCCGGTCGTGTGGGTACTGAGTAGGACCCGGGTACCCATTGGACTACCCGGACCCGTGGTTAGTCACGTGATATATTGTTTAATGACAAAAACTCACTATAGCTCAGTGGTTACACTACAAGTTGCTAATGTTTGCATTTCTTTCTGATGATGCACACATTCCTTTTGAAATGTTTGAGTAAAGATAAAGCTTCAGTCAGCTTCAGTGAACGCATGATCTGATTGTTTGATACATGTATCTAAATAGTTTTTAGCCAGGCCTGTGTTAAAACAATTACCAATCAGACATTTTGTTCCTGAGACTTGAATACAATGTAGTCAGTTGAATTAGATAGAAGTTCAAGTCTTTGAAAGCATTTACGGAAGAGAATTTATGGATGTCAACTTCTTTATTTAGAGGAACACAACGTTTAAGAGTATATGCTTACACCTTCATCAGGTGAATGAATGCCAGATAGACACACATAGACTCGTTTTCGGCTTAGTTCTCACAATTTAGAAATTGAATGTGGACGACATTATAATATTCCTCGTGAATTTAGAAAATATAAAGTTTGTAACTTAAACCATATTGAAAATGAATATCACTTTTTTTTAATTTGCCCAGCTTATAGCCATCTTAGGCAAAGTTACATAGAATCTAAATTTTACATCTTTCCAAATATTCTGAAGTTTAATACACTACTGTCATCACAAGACCCTATTATCAATATGAATACAACAAAATACTTGTTTTATGCCAATGCTGTAAGAACACAAATACTACAACATGTATAATATGCAATTATGTTAAAACTGTTTTTGTTAAAACGCAAAGAAATGTATTTTATCTTATACTGTTGCACCTTAATTGTATTTCGTCTGTACAAAAAGGCCCGTGGCCTACAAGTACTGAATATAGTGAAGAAAGGAAGGAAGGTCCAGATAGAAGTTAATTAACTTTTGGAACATGAGTTTTCTGCAAGTTCTTAAAATGTGCAAACTTGGCCTACCTGAACAGGGTGCACTCCAAGACATGGTAGCACAAAGTCTGGGAATCTGAAATATTTGAAAAAATGATCGTTGATCCTGCAAATGCTGTAATTTTCCTGCTGGTGCATATGCTATCCAACCTCATGATACACAATGGAACATTTCAAAGTACTGTATTTGACATAATAAGCGCCCAGGGAGTTTTTAAAATTAAAAGTTGGGGCCTCTTATTAGAATATTATTTTGGTGTTGAAAGATTGTAAATTTCGTGGTTTATGCTGACAGCCTGACATGCTTATATACGACAGATATATTATTTTCAGAATTTAACATCCCATAATTAGGGATGCTTATAACACAGGTATTATACATGAATAAATAAGTCTTGTGTACATTGATCAGTTGGAAGGGGTGCTAATTGGGATTGTTCACTAGCAAATATACGAGCAAATATCGCCGTGGGCGCTTATTAGAGCAGGGCGCTTATTACGTCGAATATGGTATATTTTGTCGTTTAACTTCGAACTCAACAATATTCCAGCCATATGACTGCGGTCTGTAAAAAATCAAATCTGGACCAGACAATACAGTGATTGACATCATAAGCATGAATATTATGTAGTTGTGATATGATGATATGCATCAACGAGAAAGCAAGTCCGACCACCCAATCTCATAAGATGCCTCTTACAACAAGCATGGGTTTCTGTAGACCAATTCTAACCCAGATCTTCATGGGGATAATTTAATGTATTGCAATATCATGATACATATCGTGATAGATCATAACATGTTGAATAGTTGAGGTTGACTCAATGTTTTTGTTTGATCATAAACACACATTTTGTTTTATTCCAGTCAATATAAGTCCTTAGCTGTGAGTGAGTGAGTTTGTCATGAAATTGCCTGGCAAAAGGGTTCCATCGATGAGTGAGTGAGTGAGTGAGTGAGTGAGTGAGTGAGTGAGTGAGTGAGTGAGCATTGCTTTATGCCACTTTTAGCAATATTCCAGCAATATTCGAGAAATATCACAGCGTGGAACACCAAAAATGGGCTTCACATATTGTACCCATGTCGGGAATCGAACCTGGATCTTCATCGTGACGAGTGATACTATAAGAACTCAGCTACCCCACCGCCCGCCACTTATAATAGAAAACTTGATTGACATATTTTTACCCATATAAATTTGATAGGTTTCCATATTTATTGTTATTTGTTGTTGTTATTGTCATCTATCCCAGTAGTGACATTTGTAAAATTGTGTGGAATACAAGGAAACAAATAAGCACAGTTGAAACTTTTTAAAATATTTTAAAACTATGTAATATTTTGTGTGGAACTAATCTTACCTGTCTGCAAGATGAAGGACTTGCTCATACTGGTGTTCATTCTCTGCAACAACGAGGGATGCTGCCACTCCTACCTGTGACCATGGTAACCATAGTTTATTGAATTCCAGTCAAAGGAGGATCATGTTCCAGTTTCGCACTGCAGTCTAGATTTAATCACTGTAATTTGTGACAGGTGTGAAACTGAGACATTGTCCAAGTGTTACCATGGTAATCATTAACTGCTTGCTTAAAAAATATAATAGAATTTGAGAGAAACAACTAGAATTAGGCCTACTCTGTCTAGATCTGGCAAGTGACCTGAACATATTCCCTCATTAAATTACTAAAATGATTATTATACATGGTCTTTGATCAACTGTTAGGATATAATGCAGTGATCTTTACCTTTTTCGCCTCTGATATAACTTTTTCAATGTCCTGGAAATAAATATATTGTACAATTGAAAAGCAATTAGACAGCATTATAAATAGAAATAACAAAACATTTATCTTCAAACATTTTCAAATTTATTTGTTTCCTCTTTTATTTGACTGCATCCGTGGTCTAGTGGTAGAGCATCAACCTGAGGAGAGGAAGGTCCGGGGTTTGAACCCTGTCAGTGTCATACCAATAGATGTTAACATATGGTACTTGTTGTTACCCTGCCTGTCACTCGGAATTAAGGGGCTAAAACAAGGACTGGTCGGCTCAGAGTCAGTTTACTGTGTCTGAGTGGGGTATTCATGTTAAACTATGGCATGGCATCTCATTGGGCTAGCACTATAAAATCGTGGTTAGTCCGGACACACATATTGCAATAATCTCGTACCTAAAATAGTGAGATCTATTGTGTAGATAGATCTACAGCCGTACAGGCTATGTTTAATACAAAATATCACCAAGTAATTTAGACAACAGAGAAACTGTCTTTATTAACAACTTATTAAATTTAGAAAGAGTTATGCCTGGGACAGTTTCAGACATACTAAAGACGTTATGGTGATAGTTATTTGTTTTTATTCCGGCCTAGAAACATTATAGGCCTTGAGTCTACCTCTGTAAATACTTCATCTGTCAAATGACTGTGTACATCAACATAGCAGTCAAAGTTTTCTGTATTCATCGTGTTGTCACCTCGGCATTCTCTTTTGTTCATATGATACAACAACAATATGATTACAATTACTTCAGATTTGTGCAATAGCAGATCAACTAATGTGAATATAATGCTCACGTTTTGGATAATAAACAAATTTAGAGTTACCTCCCTTTGTCGAGATCTACGCGCATGCGCAAATCTAGGCGCGCACGATTTAAAATGGCTGACTTTGCCGAAAATGTGAAAATTGAATGTAGAAGTAAACGTGCGATCACTTCTATCGTTACCGCAATAAACGAGCACATTGAACATATCGTATCAGGAAACCCTGAAGCCTCTGACGAAGACAAAGAACGATGCAGATTACGGTTTCGAGAGGTCAGAAAACTATTACAGCATGACAGTATTGAACAGTGAACTGTCAAAAATTACCTTTAATTTTAGACAACAGTCTACGACGAGGTCATTCCGGATTGCTTATCCGCTACCTTAAAAGATTACGCACTTAGCCTTACTTTGTCCCGCGGCCCGAAAATGACCTGTCAGGACCTCAAACACACACACTAACACTGGGAAAACACGATACCATTATATCAGAATGTTGTTCCTGGTTGTTACTAGCACACTGCTCCTCTGTGGGGAGAGGTCTCCCAAAGAATGCTCGTACATGAAGGGAGATGGATATTCCTGGGACTTACATTGTCCGCTATTTATTATGTCAACATAACACAATTAGTCCAATTTTAACAAATATGTATTAATAATTAACAAGTACTTATTAATCTCCCTTTCTCATTTTTTAATGAAATATTTTTCGAATTTCCATGACAATATCATTTAGGCCCTAGTTATCTACGACAAGTATTTGCCATTGCCAGACATAACTACCATCCAATGTTTGGACATTTGTAGAAAGATTTCAGATAACATCCAAGCTTCTGCGCCAGTTTGTTTTATAAGAAACAAGCATGCAAATTGAATATTCCCCGATGCACAGTATGACCTAGCATGCACTTGAAATCAGGCGAACCGGTGCAACAACGTAAACTGGTTTTGGTTGATGAATATAGACTTGTCAGCCGTTTAGGGTTCAGGGAACGTTTCTGTATTCTGATTGGGGCTAGGGTACATTTCTGTATATAGAAACGTACCTGGGGTACATATCTATAGTACCTGTGTCGACAACGACCCATTCAGCAACTTAGGTTGAAAGTTTGTTACTGACATGTTGCAGACAGACAAAGGTTTTACATGTTCACTATGCTGTAGTTTTCAGTATTATATGGAGCCAAGGAATTGGATAGAAAAGTGTTATGGACATTTCCTAAAATTCTATAACACATATAACACTTCAAACTTAAAATATAGATGGTTTTAATTACATTTAAATGATTTGTCCCATAAAAAGCTTAAATTGTTTATTATATTTGTTGACAAGTTTTATGAGCAGTTTATATTTTTAAGGTATGTATGGTATATACAGTAAATTATGTTAATAACGAACACGCTTATAACAAACTATAATGAACTGTTTTTTTTGTCCCGGTCATTTGCCATATATTTTATCATATAAACTTGATTGATATAACAAACACGCTCATAAATGGATATAGCGAAGTCACCTTGTGGTCCTATGAGTACTCTGTCAATGATGTTTAAGTGTGTAACAAACTGTTAATCCCTGAACTGAGCTCCACACATGTCACCAATCTGCCTGTCAAAACATCTGCAGCCAAGGCTGTTCAAAGCGTCAATAAACAACTGAAGGCAATTGATTTACTCACAAGTACTGACACCTTGTCCTCAGATTACACCCTCTATTAACATTAGTAACACAGTGATTGAAGTGGATTTATTCTGTACATGTACAGTGCACATTTTTGTTATTTATTGAGTAACATGATGTCACATGACTTGATGAAAGATGTCTGACGGTTGAATGGCGGATATAACGAACTAAAATTAGGGGTCCCTTTGAGTTTGTTATAACTGAAGTTTACTCTATGTGATATTGTTCATCCCATGAAAAATAACTCACGATCAATGCCTGTTCCAGATTTATGAAACAGCTATTCAACAGAACATCCTTATAGATGGAGAAGAGTGTTCACTTGCTGATACCCACGATGAAACATCAGGTACACATTTTGTACAGGTCACAAAACTATACCCTACAGATGTGCTCAGGAGATTTTGATGTTAAGAAACAGTATGTTAAGTTGATTTCATGGTAATTTTACCAACATGTACAACAGGAACCATCCAGTCTAAAGTAATCTGCAATTAATGTCAATCTAAACAATGGCTTGTTATGCAGCATGAGAAGTGGTTGGTAAATCCCCCAAAGTAAATATCAAAAGAAAGTTAAATGATCGATTTAGCATGATTCATATTTAATATGATTAACCACATTAATCCCAACATATTTATTTAATTTGATCTGCCAATATTTATTTGGATTTAGTATTAGTAATCACAATAGAAATGTTAAGGAGCATGATTATATACTACTCAAAACAAGCTAAGAACACCCACAATTGGAAGGCTTTGTTGCAATTACCCACCAGCCATTACTATAGTCTTTATATGAAAAAATCATATGTTCTTTAACTTCTTTTGAGTAGTATACTCTAACTGATATATTGTTAATTCAATTTTCAGAATTTGAACCTCTTGATGTGGACAAAAGAAATTACATCAATAATGAGTTGGTACCCAACTTTGACAGCGCTATTGTGCGTGTAGCGCGGAAACGGAAGTTCCATCCTCGATTTTGTGAAGAAGAAACCTATGAAATCATCAATAAAAAAGCCTTTTACTTGGTATGTCACTATGCACAAGTCTTTTTAATTGTTTGTCTTAATTATTCTTATCTGAAAACAAACTGGAACATTTTTCTTCTTTTCTTTTCTTTTAAATTATGAGAACATATCCTCTTTAGAACATGTTTTCAACCCCTTTCATGATTTGTTTAGGATTTTTGTTGAAATGGCATTTGATTGGAATAAAAGAAGTAATCAGCTAGCCTTATGGCAAATCTGTAAACTAAGACGTAAGGAATCACACAGAGGTATTTCGTCATCACAGGCTAAGGTGGAGGTGACGGATGAAGGGAGACAACCCTTTACTCCTAAAGAAGAAGCCACTCTGCTTGCAGACCCACAACTTAAGGAAGACCTGAAGAGTGCTTCATCACAGCTTGATGCAATTGCTAAGGTGGAAATTTCTTTTGCATGTATTCCATACTTGTAGGCAGTAGTGGGGAGGTTACACAGGGGATCTCCATCAGATTATGAATTGTACTATAAATTTATCTATGATGGAGGATGGAAAAGTCATATCTACCTATGTTGAATAAGTGTGTCAACAGTATTGAAAAATAAATCTCAAACACTTTATTTTCATGGTGGTTTTGTTTCTTTAAATGATGTTTGAAACTTTGTGAAACAATACACTGAGAACAACTACAAAAACACATGAAGCACTCATAAATTCTACATTATCATCATCAAGTCATACAGACGGGCAACCTTGATCTGAGAGTTTAAGCATAAGGATTATGACCAGGACACCATCACCGTTTATTTACAGGTATTAATTTCGAACACTGGTAATAGTGACACTGTTATTGAGGGCTTTAGTTTGAAAACTATTTAGCTAATATACCTGTTATTCATTCACAATCTCATTAAATCCGATCTCAGTACTTGCTACCGATGCCGCTACTCAAAGATCTGAGTCTGTCCCAATACAAGTTACATAAGAACAACCAATGAAATGACTTAAAAGAAGTTAACATTAGCTTGCTCGAGTTTTGCGGCATTAGTTTCAAACTTGTGACTTGCATTCAAGACGATGCTTTGAAAAGTATATATTAAAAATTTGAAAACTGAACAAAAGAAAATTCAGTTTTGTCAAATAGATTGCCAAGATTGTATTGCAGTACTTCCCACGGGCTATTGAAAGTCTCTCCAGTTTCAATTGTTTGTCCCACTGAAGCAAGACATGGAAGATGATTTTGACGGCACTGGTCATCCAGCCTGTAACTGTCATTTAGAATACCACTTGTTAACCTTTTCAAGGTTGCATGATTTGAAAATACATTTCACATACATATTGTCACTTTCCAAATCTGGTAAGCGATGCTCTGATTGGTCAAATGAAAGGTTGTTCTGACATGACCTGTAATGGGATGTATTCAGCTCTTTTTCTAGCTTTAGAGATAACTAAGGTCTGATTTTAGTGAGATTGTCATGTAATGGGATGAACTGAGATTTTTGTTTAGCGAAAGGGGGAACTATGATCTGATTTGAAGGAGATTGTCATGAGTCAGCTCTTAGCATTATATATCAGGTTTCTGCAACTTATCAGTTAGAAGCAAATGTTTGGGGAGATAACCCCAATTCCTCTCCACTTCTTTTTTATTCTCAATGTGTTGTTTGTTCCAGTCTGTGACATCATCTGTAGAGAAGGCAGAGAAACTACACACAGCCGTGGGCATCCTTCAACAGCCATCCAAAACTGACAGGATCATATATGATAGTGGAAGCAACATTGCTAGCAGCAGTCTGAACACTCCATTGATCCCAAGGCTCAATGGAACAGCAGTCTCTAGCATTGCTGTGTCAGATGCACCAAGCTCAAGGCAGCATCAAGACTATGTTGTAGAGATGTAATATAAAACATGTAGACCTCTCTCAAGCTCTACTCATGGTCAGCTTGTGCCAAGCTCCAAGTTTTGTGATATGAGACAGAGATGTTTGATATAAGGTGTTCTTACTTAAAACTTTATGAAGCTTGACTTGCCAGTATCCTCTTTTCTTGTATAACTTAAAATTATGATGCTCTCTGTATGTTTTACTAACTAGAATCTATAACAGTGATACTTGATAGTGTCATGAAAAAAAGTTTAATTGTCTAAAGTACTTGATTATGTTTGCTAGGGGAAATTTTGTGTTGATAATATCATTGAGAAATTATTTCCAACTTGATGATACATAATAGTAAATATTTTCTAGAAGCTATTTTCCCTGAATTTCTGCCTGTAATATATTTTTGGTGTAATGAAAATGTCAGATTGCCTGACACATGTTTTTAAGGTTATCTTGTAATCCCCATGTATTGCTTGAAATCTGTGTGAAACGGCAACCACAGGTCTCCCAGGCCCTGCCATTCAATGTGCTGAGTTCCACAAAGCAATCTTAGCACTAAGGCTGTTGTAAGTCTATGTTAAGATTTGGAGTTGTGATGGTCTTAGTGCTGCTAAGGTAGCTTTGTGCAAGTGTCCCAGGTGATAAAATGCGATATTTGAATCTATTTTCATGTGCATGTGTCAGCAGTTTTGGATGGATTAAAAAAAGAGAGACCACTACAGGTGCTGTTTAAAATAAGTTATAAGTATGATTATTAATTGAGCTTTGGCAAACTTTTTTTTCTGTGTTGATAGTTCTGTACAGTGATCAGAATTGGCATGGATAGTTTTCCCTGTGCAACTGACCAACCCACACAACATGGACAATAAATCACAAGATGCTTGGATGACCAAATTCATTTTTGTTTTCATTTGAACCACCCAATCTAATATAAAGTTTGTAAAACATGACATAAAAGGTATAACCTTGGCATAAAAATAGCTGTTTAAGGTGAAAAATGTTAACTGTAAATCAACACATGGTTAACATTGTCTGTTTTTCCTGTGCTTGGAATTTTTGTTTTTGTATTTTTTTCATCTTATTGTACATTATTAAAGATAGTTTGTAAATAATATATTTAGATTAATAATGAATTAAATTCATTAACAAATGATAGTTGTTATTTTCATGTAGTAATAACAATTACATGTATTCATTTAGCTCTCCCATTTTAGAACCTTTCTATTTGCATGATACGTGACACAGCAACAATAAAATCTCAAGGTAATGTTCTACTTTGGGAGATTGTGAACCAAACACTGGTTTTTTTTTTCTCTCACAATTTTGAATATAAGAATACAATAATGACAAAGCAGTTGTGTGTTTGTTTTCTTTGAGGATTTGTTAGACTGTCACAAACCATTAAGGTTAGACACACAGCAACCGATCTATACTAGTGAAAATCTGGAGGGACACTTGTTTTCTTCCAAAAGGTCAAGGTATGATAAGGGACCTGCTACCCATCCTGCAGGCCAGTCGATATGTTTCACAACAAGCCATGATCATTAGCTCTGCAATGAAGTTGGACAAATTGCTTTTTACTTTTTTGTTGTTTAGTCATTCTTGTGTACTTGTACATGGCAAAAGCCAAAAACATGAAAGATGAAAAAAAGAAAAAAAATGTTAGTTGTCTACCATTTGAAAATGTCTGATTATTTTCATCCTAACATAGAACTAAAAAACACAAGAGAATTACCAGTCTCAATTATCTGACGAAACTGATTCCATTTGGTGAAAAAGGCAAAATAGCAGCGAAAACTGTCGAATGGATCACCGAAAGTGATGACGTCAGGTGTTTCCGTTTGCCATGATTATGTTTCTTGGTTTGTTAGCACCATACCCATGCTTGTGGGCTTTCCTCCGACATTAAGCTGACACACCATGATAAAACTTTCAAAGTGGCGTTAAAACCCAACTGATTCGCTCGCTCGATCCAAATAAACTTGCAGTTGGCACTTGTCCTTCAACCTCATACACCCCAGACAAACACTGATGTGTGTTATTTTATATATATTGTGCACTTTGTAAAAAAATGGAAACTACAACAGATTGTATAGAATAGAAAAGACCTTGAGCTAAGTTACAAAACTGTTTTATTGATATACAGTATAAAAGCACCAATAACAGACGAGACACTCCCTATCTATTGATTGCAACATGTACTGTTACATGATGCATTAGCTTGGATGTTCACAGCTGTGTACTGCATCTTCAGGCATTAAATGTGAATAGGTTACCGTATCAGAAATTTGAAGTCGATTATTGCAAATGAATAGACTGGTATGAACATGATGAATGTCAATGTGTGGGGAAAAGTTGAGATTTGTTGCCAAAACAAAATTTTCGTTGAAAAAGTTGTTATTTTTTCATGTTAACAGTGCTTTAAAAGGTCTTCACATATTTCCCTGCTCACTTGACCCATGAAGCCCCGGGGTAGAACAGGTCTTCAGCAACCCATGCTTGCCATAAAAGGCGACTAACATGATTGGGTGGTCAGGCTCACTGACTTGGTTGATGCATGTCATTGTATCCGAATTGCTTTGATCGATGCTCATGATGTCAATGACTGGATTGTCTGGTCCAGACTCGGATTATTTACAGACTGGTGTGATATAGCTGGAATATTGATGAGGGAGGTGTTAAACAAGAAACAAACAAGACCTTACTCACTGACATTAAATATATGAACTAGAGAAGTGCACATAAAATCCTCCAATTGTCATTACCATCAGTACTGGACTATAGGTGAAGTCTTGGTAGCATTTTCTATTATCGTTACTGTACCAGGGGCAATGAAATTGAATAAATTGACAAACAAAAATCAATTTACTAGTATTTCAAACTACTCTCCCAAACCAGCATTTTTTGGTTGACACCTGTTTCTTCCATGACTTCATGCTATTTACCTCTATCGTAATTAGAGTGAGTGAGTGAGTTGGGTTTAATGCCGCTTTTAACAGTATTCCAGTTATATTGTGGCGTGTCAGCTCAATGTGGGAGGAAAGCCCGAAGTGATGCAGTTCTCAGGCATTTACCACTTCGGTGAAACCTATGAGCACAGGTATGGTGCTGACAAACGTAGAAACATAATCAGGGCGAACCGGGATTCAAACCCACAATCATAGGTTTCTGGCGTGCCCAAGTGACGCAACACTGCACAGCAAATCGCAACGCCTTAGACGACAGGGCCACCCGTGCCCCCCCCCCCCCCCCCCCTGTCTAGAAGACTAACACCAGCTGTACTCCCAACCAGTGGTGTGTGTGTGTCTGGCCTAGGTTGACTACCAGTGATATGTGTCTGTCCAGGATACGAACACCAGCTGTGCACACACACAACAAGTCATATCTGTCTGTCTGGCTTTATTACTAGACAGACACCACAAAGAAGCTGTTCTATTGTCAACCCCAGTGTAAATGCTTTTTGTTTGCTCACACACTAGCCATTGTCTCCACAAACACTTATGTCTGATCAGCTGTACCCATAGAACAAGCTTGTCTAAGTGACAATCAGACGAGCCCTTATTCCCAAATAGGGTAACTATTGGGCATCAGTTACCATCATGGAGAGCTTTCCATGTTCTGTTGAGAATGGTCACAGGAGTAATGTCCGTGTTGTAAGCACTGAGCTTAATGCCCATGTGTCCATACTTTTTAAAATAATTTCTCTTTTCTTTTGTAATTGAATCAGGAAATGACTAATCCCCATATTGTTAGTCTGTCCAGACACCTGTAATTAAGTGTCACATACTCCGTGTTTATTACTGTTTTGTGTGTATTATTATTTAATTCAACGAATAATATTCAAGAATATTGCCCCCACGCTATGGTTGAATGTGTTGATGCCCCCAGTCTATGGTTGAATGTGTTGATGCCCCCATGCTATGGTTGAATGTGTTGATGCCCCCAGTCTATGGTTGAATGTGTTGATGCCCCCATGCTATGGTTGAATGTGTTGATGCCCCCACGCTATGGTTGAATGTGTGGATGCCCGCATGCTATGGTTGAATGTGTGGATGCCCCATGCTATGGTTGACTGTGTGGATGCCTGAATACTATGGTTGAATGTGTGGAAGCCCCCATGCTATGGTTGAATGTGTGGATGCCCCATGCTATGGTTGAATGTGTGAATGCCCCCATGCTATGGTTGAATGTGTGGATGCCCCCCTATGATTGAATGTGTGAATGTTCCACCCTATGGTTGAATGTGTGGATGCCCCCAGTCTATGGTTGAATGTGTGAATGCCCCCATGCTATGGTTGAATGTGTTGATGCCCCATGTTATGGTTGAATGTGTGGATGCCCCCAGGCTATGGTTGAATGTGTGGATGCCCCCATGCTATGGTTGAATGTGTGGATGCCCCAATACTATGGTTGAATGTGTTGATGCCTCACGCTATGGTTGAATGTGTGAATGTTCCACCCTATTGTTGAATGTGTGGATGCCCCCATGCTATGGTTGAATGTGTGGATGCTCCCAGGCTATGGTTGAATGTGTGGATGCCCCCATGTTATGGTTGAATGTGTGGATGCCCCCATGCTATGGTTGAATGTGTGGATGCCCCCATGCTATGGTTGAATGTGTGGATGCCCCCACACTATGGTTGAATGTGTGGATGCCCCCATGCTATGGTTGAATGTGTTGATGCCCCCATGCTATGGTTGAATGTGTTGATGCCCCCATGCTATGGTTGAATGTGTGGATGCCCCCATGCTATGGTTGAATGTGTGAATGCCCCCATGTTATGGTTGAATGTGTGGATGCCCCATGTTATGGTTGAATGTGTGAATGCCCCCATGCTATGGTTGAATGTGTGAATGCCCCCATGCTATGGTTGAATGTGTGGATGCCCCCATGCTATGGTTTAATGTGTGGATGCCCCCATGCTATGGTTGAATGTGTGGATGCCCCCATGTTATGGTTGAATGTGTGGATGCCCCCATGTTATGGTTGAATGTGTGAATGCCCCCATGTTATGGTTGACTGTGTATGGTTACTTCCTACATAGAACTCCAGGTTAAAGGACATCCTATATTATCATGTGTATTATATCTCTATCTATTATGATAAATAGTCTCGAGAAGATTCCGGGTTAGAAAAGGTCTTCAGTAACCCATGCGTGTCGTATGAGACGACTAACGGGATCGGGTGGTGAGGCTCGATGACTTGGTTGATGCATGTCATTGTATCCCAATTGCGTGGATCGATGTGCAAGATGACAGTCACTGGATTGTCTAGCCGAGACTGAATTATTTATAGCTGGAATATTGCTGAGTGCGGCGTTAAAGAACAAACAAACAAACAAACAATATTATGATAAATGCCCTGAACCCATTCATTCACCATCACAACTTTTAACCTGAAATGACGTCACATCCCCACCTCTCCTGCCGTGCCCTTCAAATTAGGCTCCAATCAAAGCCACAGTAGTGAGGGGTTTAGAGTATTTACCATACCTTCTAACCTGCATAAATGAGGATGGTAAATAGATGACTGAATTAGCAACTTGTTGCTTGAAAAACACACACAGGGTTTTCTGAAACCAAAGCAACAATTCTGACACATAATCAGTTTGTTGACCCTTCCTCTGTCTTCTTTTGGACTTATGAGGACTGATAATCATAAAGATGTTTGGAAGAAACCTCATGAGGAACATAGTTCTAAGTTCATAAGTCGGATGGGGGGCAGTTGGATAGCCTTGTGGTTAAAGTGTTTGCTCGCCATGCCGAAGACCCACGTTCGATTCCCGACATGGGTACAATGTGTGAAGCCCATTTCTGGCGTCCCCTGCCATGATATTGCTGGAATATTGCTAAAAGAGGCGTAAAACGCTTGCTCGCTCACTCACTCACTCACTCACTCACTCACTCGCTCACTAGCTCACTCCGCTCCACCCACTCATAAGTCGATGGAACCCTTTTGCCAGGCAATTTCATGACAAACGGTCCTCTAACTGGATCCCTACATAGTTCCAGTGTCTTGTCCATTGATTATTGAATGCGTTGTGAATTGCCATCAAAACAAACCAGAGCAGATGTTTCTTTGATTTCGCGATACATTCTGAGTTCCTATTCGTGCAATTAAGCTTATGTCATGGGATATCTGTCACACAAGTAACTGCTAGGACATCAGTAAAGATAGGATTTCTGTTTGAAACTCAAATTTGACACCTTATAATTTATGTGAATTGGTTTGAACAGCTTGAGGTCTTTAAGCATTCCTATAGTGATTAATTATGAAAGTGGGTGCAAAAATGGTTCTTTCAAATGGCATTTAGGTGCAGCCTTTCCACTTTAACATAAGTGATAGAACATCACAGAATCTCTAATGTAACCAAGAATACAGGGAATCTTTTGAACAATTTCTGCCGGAGGAAAATCAATATTTCTACAGGTTCAGTCTGGTTGTTCACTGTGTGTCTTTGAATATACAGCTTTGATGTAAGACTTGATCTATTCTGTTGTAAGCATTGCCTAACAGGCTGAGAAACCTTTGATGAGGATTCTGTAATTTCAGTTAACGATTTTGTTAACTTGAAAGTGTTGAAGCATGACTTGTGGAACATAGCATCTAATTTGGTCTCCTGAGGGGATTCCTTGATGGATGCGATGATTCTTGTGAGAAGATTCTAACATTGGGGATTGGTTGGCATTATTGCTGCTGGCATTCGCGACCAACACATGTTATTCAAGGACAAGCCGAATAGTGACTCATGCCCCTCTCGTGGCCATTTTTGCGACTGGGTCCCATCTAAGCACAAATGGGCATAGCTAAAAGAATTGTCAACGCGTTGCGTGACGATTCACATATATTTCCCTCATGACATATATATTCCAGATGCTATTTAAACACAAAAGGAAGGTATTTATACAGTATGATTGAACACATTTAACTGTATCTAGGGTATACTTTTAGGTGCAAGATGTGTAAAAGCAAAAATTAATCCTGAGGGATTCTTTGACCAAAATACTTGAAGTCATACAAGCATTCTGATCGGTTTGTCATATTTTTGCACATAATATTCATTGATAGGGGGACAATTCTTCTTACAAGTTATGGAAAGGGGCGAGTGGTAACGAATGGGGGACGAGTCTTTTTGCAGGTTACCTAAAGGGGTGAGTGGTTACAAATGGGGGACGGGTGTTTTTGCAGGTTACCTAAAGGGGCGAGTGGTAACGAATGGGGGACGAGTCTTTTTGCAGGTTACCTAAAGGGGTGAGTGGTGACGAATGGGGGACGAGTCTTTTTGCAGGTTACGGAAAGGGGCGAGTGGTGACGAATTGGGGACAAGTCTTTTTGCAGGTTACCTAAAGGGGCGAGTGGTGACGAATGGGGGACGAGTCTTTTTGCAGGTTACCTAAAGGGGCGAGTGGTGACGAATGGGGGACAAGTCTTTTTGCAGGTTACCTAAAGGGCCGAGTGGTGACGAATGGGGGACGAGTCTTTTTGCAGGTTACGGAAAGGGACGAGTGGTGATCAGTGGTGACGAATGGGCTGCTGGATACAGGTGAAGGCCAGTTTCCACTGGCTGGCACAAGGGTCATCAAGCCCTGATGGTATGGTTGAACTAATGCCCTGAAGGTGGCGAGGTGAAACGGGGTCTAACATCACATTGATGATTATTGCACTTCCAGTACGATGTGTGAGCGTGTGTGGTGTTTGTAAGAGAGTCGGGACTGATGCCGGTTTTATAGTGCCTTGCCACAGCGATACCATGCCGCAGTTTAACATGGTTACTGGTCGAGTGGTAGATGGTGCTGAAATTCCCTGGGCAGTCTTTGTGGCAGGGGTTTGTCTTTCAACTCTATATATGGGTTTGTGTTTCACCATAGTTGTATACAACCTTCATTCACGTTCAACTTCTCACCTGCTGCTGGCTTTCTGCTAGCTGCTTTCGGGTCAGAAGATAGGTCCTCATAAATCACACTGTAAAAGGTGACTAAAATAGTGATTGGGTGATTAGGTTCAGAGACTTTTCCCATTGTTGTGTTTGTCATCGTACTAGGGCTGGGAGACCCTTGAAGATTCCGGGGTAGAATAGGTCTTCAGCAACCCATGCTTGCCATAAAAGGCGACTAACAGGATCGGGTGGTCAGGCTCGCTGACTTGGTTGATGCATGTCATCAATCCTAATTGCATGGATTGATGCTCATGATATTAATCACTGGATTGTCTGGTCCAGACTCGATTATTTACAGACCGCCGTCATAAAGCTGGAATATTACTGAGTGCGGTGTTAAACAACAAACCAATCTAAAACTAGGGCTGGGACGAGTCCAAATTTACTACCCAGGTACCCACTACGCAATTACCCGACCCTACCCGGATACCCGCTATATGTCTCAAGACTTGGGTGTAAAAAGTCTGTTTGGGAATAGTTTGACCATAGCCCTGGTAGAATGTATTTAGATACACATATAAAACGATCTGGTCATGCATACACTGAAGTTGACTGAAGTTTTATCTTTATTCAAACCTATAAAGGTCAGAAGGAATGGGTGCATAGTCAGAAAGAAATGCGAACAATAGTGACTTGTAGTGTAACCATAGAGTTTTAGATATTTTTTGTCAATAAACAATATATCTAGTGAGTAACCACGGGTCTGGGTGGTCCTGTGGGTACCTGGGTCCTACTCAGTACCCACCCAAACTGAAGTACCCGAGTTACCCGTCCCAGCCCAAGCCCAAGTTCGTACCCTAATGACACAAGTTGTTTATGCTTTCAGTCACTCGTCTGCCGAGAAAATGTCAACATCATTGGTTAGTTGATGAAATAATAGAACCTTTGCCAATCAATGTCTGGATATTCTGTATGAGCAGGTGTATTAGGTGTCATGATCATCTTCCACACTTCACAGGCTTATTCATCTGGGAATACATACTGCCGCTATCCGTCGTAACACGACAGACGACGAAGCAGCCATGGCCTGATTCCAGTTTAACTGATGCCAGTGAGTGCTCTGACCAATAGCAACTCAAATTATGTCACATAAACGGCAACGTTTTCTACCTGACAAGGCGTGCAACACACATCACACGCTGCCTGGTGACTGTCATCACTTTGCTTTAGTGGCAAGCAATCGTAGAGTTCGCAAAAAGTCCTTGCCCAGAGTAGGGCTCATTTGTCATCCATCAGTCAAACACGCCCTCATCTAATTAGCCGACCAGTGACCAGGACACCTTGTGTTCATGCTGGGGGAACATTGTGTAGAAAACCCATCAAGTATTGACCATGATCTGCAGAATCATTGATGAAAGTGTTCCCACTTACAGGCAATACTGGAATATTTTCACAGTGGCAGAATCCAAAAATTGCTTTCACAAATTCCAGCTATATGATGGAGGTCAGATGGAGGTCAGACAATCTAGTGATTGATATTGTGGACAATGATCCACACTGTCAGGATACGACGACAGCTATCAACAAAGTCTCTGAGTCTGACCACCCTTTGGTTGCCTTTTACGATAGAATTGGGGATCAGTTCTAACTTGGAATCCCACAGGGTTCACAAATTGTGTTACTGAACCTGGGTCCGCTGCTTGCCAAGCGAACGCTGCAACAACTTGGCTACCCATGGGACTATTAAACAATAAATAAAGAAAACAATGATATTTGTTGTTTTATTTATTTTGTAGACATTGAAAAAATAAAAATAAAGACAAGTAATCCATTCAGTAATGTACAGAAATAAAATAAATAATTTCCCCATGACTAAAAGTCGACCTGTATACAACCCTGTACAAGACGATGTCTTAAGACAAGCTCAGTGCTCGAGAATGGAGAAACGTACATTTGTTGCCAAAAGTTGTCTTCTGCCTTTCACAATATACTACTGAAAATTATGCACACAAGAGCAAGCAGATTTGAAGCAGATTGGATGACAAGGTTGCAAGCATTACTGATTAACTACCTTCAAAAGGAGTAATTCCTTCTTACTGAAAACTGTCCATGGACAACACATACTCAAATATTTGCAAAATAAAAACTCCTTGAAAACCCTTATAAGGAAACCTTATCCACCCATAATGCTTCAGTTGATACAAAACAATTCCACCGAATGCCCCAAATATCCTCTGCATCATTATTGAAGGGTCATGTAGGTTGTCAAACATGAACGTATGCCGACAAGCGTCAATAGGTCGGAGTATGTTGACAATGTAATTAACAGTTGAAGAACATGTTGTTTAGGCCTATGTCACACTGATAGGATGCTTTTATGAAACTGGAAAAATGGACAATGACTATTAAAGCAATGAAAAGTGCAAGATTGAAGGTTTGAAAAAGCGACCCAAAACACCCCAAATGCCAGTGGTTTAGCCCAAGCATGTGCAATACATGGCAAGTTAACAGTCAACGTGGGTATAGAATGGTTCATTCCAGATGCAAATCAATTGCACTCTTGGAAGTTGAAAGTAAAATGTAATCTTTTGCAAGTTAACAGTCAACGTGGGTATAGAATGGTTCATTCCAGATGCAAATCAATTGCACTCTTGGAAGTTGAAAGTAAAATTTAATCTTTTATTATCTGTGTGACCCCTCAATAACCACCAAGCATATCATTAACTTACGGTTTGTGAATGGAAATGGAAATCTGAGTCCGAAAACCGTGTCCATATTCATATTATAAATAGTAAGACAAACGTTGAAACAAAAAATGGGACAAAAATATGTCGGCTGACTTTCTTCGACCACAAATACAGACGAGGAATAATGTCAAGTCGGACTTCTCTCGATGCTATCAAGGCACAGACTGCATTGTACGAGAACAGGTCACCTTGCAGAAAATCTGCATGTCAGTTAAAAATTTTATTCTTGTGAATTACCCAATCAGTATAACCCAAATGGCATCATTGAATGCATCAATTATTTCTGATCAATTAATTGTTTATCCTTTTCTTTCTTTGTAAGACTGATAAAAAATGACAATCAGTTCACTACAATTAGGCATGACTACTGATAGGTGAAAATAATTAAATTTAATATTCTGAGGAAAAAGTAAATGCTTCAATCATATATATACAGTTTTGTAATAATTTATTTATTTATTTATTTCATATACTTTTCAAGTACTAGTTATCATTAAGTAATAAAAGATAATATTTAATAATTAAGATAATAAAAATATAAACTGATATTCAGGTATATTGGATTGAAAGCCGTTTTCGTCTTAATTTGTTTGGTCTACTCTGTAAAATAGGAGCTGAAAATTCAAGCCTTTACCTTGAAGATGTGTGTTAACATGATAATTAAGCAAAATCTTTTTTTCTTTTTTTGCCCTGAAATGTTTTTGGGTGTGACAAGTAGACAATGTTCAACATGTACGTTGTGACAAATCTTATCTTCTCACTCTTTACTAAATACCAGGAAATACACAAGACACCATCTACAACAGACTTGACCATCCCAATGTACAAGTGTAAATAACAAAGCATAACGTGTGTACAACCCTCTGTTCTCACCAAAGCACTTAAAACTATTTGTTTAAATATTTAGCAACATGCCAAAGAGAGCAATTTCATAAATATAATTCTGTACACTTAATATTTATACATATAACACTTTATGATAAAAATGGTACATTATGAATTTTGTTCTCCATGTTTTGACAGATACGGAAACAATCATGAAAAAGCCATGATAAATAAGGAAATGCTTACGGTCCTCTTTGAATATACAATTATATTACAAAATCAGGAATAAATCAACAGAATGATATTCATCAAGATGACAGGCTACCTAGGTCACCAGAGGTCAAGGTCAACAATGCCCACTTTCGAACGTTTAACTTATGAATTTTTATCAAACACATTGACAAGCACTGACGAGATGCCAACTTGAGCAATGATACACTTGTTTAAAGACACCATGAAACGATCTAAATACCAATATCTCTTCAACTGACAATGGACAGTACCAGTAAGTTCAGGGTACAAATTGACCATTTTGCAATATTTATTAAACCTCAAAAAACACTATAACCCTTTACATGCTTAATGTAGCCCCCAGGGTACTTGCTGGGTCAAATACAGCACACTGTCAACATATTTGGTCAGAGTGAGTGAGTGAGTTTGATTTTACGCCGCTTTTAGCAATATTCCAGCAATATCACGGCGGGGGACACCAGAAATGGGTTTCACACAATGTACCCATGTCAGGAATTGAACCCGGGTACTCGGTGTGACTAGCGAACGCTTTAACCACTAGGCTACCCGACCATCCCTATTCGGTCAGATTCACACTGCTCCAAGTATTGTCATCATAAGCAAGGGAGTGTATAAGCATTTTCATGACATTCCATGGACAATTTTGTTTCAAGACCACAATGCAAAAATATTTTACAAATGTTTCATTGTACAAAATTTAAAAATTGAAATGTTTTGCTCATTTTGAATTCTACAAAGTTGCAAGAAACATTCTTTAATATTCATTAATGTTCTCGGAACAAAGTTGCAGACATGACTATAGACTCTGGTAGAACAAGCAGTCTTAATATGTGCTCCTTGTTTTTAATCTTGCCATCTTGATGTTTGCCTCTAGTCCTGAATCTTGCTATCCTGAATCTCCTTGCTGGCCGGAAAGTACACTTTGAAAGCAAAGTCTGTTCTTGGAAATGAACCCTGAAAAAAAAGATCAAATATTAGAAAACATGAACGATTTTGATAAATCGATAATCTAAAGATCAGAAAATATCAAGCTGTCACTCAATACCAAATTACCTGCATGAACTGATTACGTCCTTCAGGTAAAGTCTGTCATGGTGATGAACATGTGATCAATGTTTCAAACAAAAACACAACACATTCATCATGAACAATGTGTCTGACAATATCGGCCATTATCCTCCATCAAGGCACAAGGTAGTAGATGGTGAAACCTGTTGTATTGGAGGATCATCCATAGGTGAGGTGAGGTGAAATTAGGTTCAATGTTGTGTCTAAGATTATTGCACTTATATAGCGCTGTGTGTGTGCGTTTGCGTGTGCATGTGCGTGTGCGTTTGCGTGTGCATGTGCGTGTGCGTACCAATCCGGACTGATGCTGATTTATAGTGCTAGCTCACTGAGATACCATGCTGCAGTTTAACATGAATACGCCACTCGGACACAGTATACTGACTCTGAGCTGACCAGTCCTTGTATTAGCTCCTTAATGTCGAGTGCCAGACAGGGTAACAACAAGTACCACCTTTAAACGACATTTGGTATGACGTGGCCGGGGATCGAACCCTGGACCTTCCATTCTCTGGGCGGACGCTCTACCACAAGACCACGGAGGCGGTTCGAACCATCCATAGCATGCATTAGTGAGTGAGTAAGTGAGTTGGGTTTAATGCCGCTTTTAACAGTATTCCAGACATATCACGCCGTGTCAGCTTGGGAGGAAAGCCCGGAGTGATGCAGGTCTCAGACGTTTACCACTTTGGTGAAACCCACAAGCACGGGTATGGTGCTGACAAACCTAGAAACATAACTTGGGCAAACTGGGATTCGGACCCACAATCATAGGTTTCTGGCGTGCCCATGGGACGCAACTCTGCACAGCAAATTGCAGCGCCTTAGACGACTGGGCCACCCTGCCCCCTCATAGCATGCATTAATTATGTCATTCCAGTCATACAATGTCACAATGTGTCCTACCATGTCACACATGTTATATAATGTCGCATGTTATTAATGTCCTACAATGTTGCACGTGTTATACAATGTCACTTGTTATTCGTGTCCTACCATCTCACACATGTGTTATACAATGTGACACGTTATTCGTGTCCTACCATGTCACACGTGTTATACAATGTCACACGTTATTTGTGTCCTACCATGTCAGGCGTGTTATACAATGTCACACGTTATTTGTGTCCTACCATGTCACACGTGTTATACAATGTGACACGTTATTCGTGTCCTACCATGTCACATGTGTTATACAATGTGACACGTTATTCGTGTCCTACCATGTCACACGTGTTATACAATGTGACACGTTATTCGTGTCCTACCATGTCACACGTGTTATACAATGTCACACGTTATTTGTGTCCTACCATGTCAAGCGTGTTATACAGTGTTACACGTTAATCATGTCCTACCATCTCACACACGTGTTATGCAGTGTCACACGCTTTTCGCGTCCTACAGTCTTTGAAATAAAATAACTTGCAAGGCTGCCATCAGGACCCACAAACTTTCGAAGCTGCAGGCCCTGACTAACCCTCATTTAGAAAATCCCCACAGCTTAGCATCACAAATAAATCAACATGTAAAAAGGACCCATACAAATTTGAAACAACAGGCCTAACAAGAGATCTACCTGTCCAGGACCCACTTGCACAAAGCGATCTTAGCCCTAAGATGATCGTAACTCCCATACTTTAACATAGGCTTACAATAGTCTTAGCGCTAAGATCGCTTTGTGCAAGTGGGCCCTGGACCTACAGCCAAGCGCTTGCTTCGAACAGTGGTGTCCTACGGTAGGACTCCTACCATATCACACATCATTCAACATGCCTTTATTGGACACCTGCTGATACATGAGATATGTTAGAAGAGTTAATAGACAAACATTTTGTATAAAAAAGTCTTTGGTCTGAGGAAAAAAGCATGATCAAGTGCTACTTTAGTAATACATTTGACCAGTGAAGATCCGGGGTAGAATAGGTCTTCAGGCCCATTCCTGCCGTAAAAGGTGTCTATGCTTGTCGTAAGAGGCGACTAAAGGGATCAGGTGGTCAGCCTCGCTGACTTGGTTGATGCATGCCATCGTACCCCAGTTGTGTGATCGATGCTCATGATGTCAATTGCTGGATTGTCTGGTCCAGACTTGATTATTTACAGACAGCCGTTATATAAATGGAATATTGCTGAATGCGGCGTTAAACAAAAAAACCCAAAAGCAATGAAAAGTAATACATTTGTTCCATCACATATATTATATAACCATTAACATAAAACTAGAGTCTGAAACCATCTGTTCTTAAACTAGTTCACATGTTTCAAACCAAAAATTATCAAAATTAAAAAAATTAATTGTCATGTTCTTGTTTACTTCAACACACGTCACTCAAACGACATAAAGCATTATTCCATGTGTGCATTTATCAGCAACACACAATTGTGAAAATATGTTATGTGTTGTCATGGATACATGAATGTTGCAAAGGCTTTAATCCAAATTTCAGTTATAAATCAATACAAAAATAGGAGGCAAATAAAAAAACCAAGCAGAGTTTGTCAAATTAGTCCTGAAGAAAACAGTCCCAGATGAGACGAAGGAGTGTCCCTGGCCTAATTTCTCAGCCAAGCAAACCAGAAACTGAGTCGATCAATCAACTGATCACATGATTGCCATGTGACTGAACCATGGACCTGACCTTGCCAGCTACACTTTCTTAATCATTGAAGCAAGTCAGTCAAGGATACTTGGAAACTGTATCTCCTGATGTAGCTGATCAACATACAGCAAACGAGAAACCATTGATTATTTATAAATTTACTGCATTCTCACTTGTACGACTGCGGTCATGTCAGCCATTGTTAGGCATACTCATCAGTGCAGCAGATAAATGTGCAATGGATGGCCTGGAGATACTACCATCACGACACTGTGCTAAATCAATCACTGTCCGCAACATGCACGATAATGAATGGCACCACAAAAACAGGATTACCCAGCACTGCGTTCTGCGTATCTTGATAACATATTGTGCTGGGATAATTGTAGACTGGGCTATGGGCAACATTAACCAATACCAATATTACATATAATTTGATTGATTTTTTTTTTAATTGGCCCATTGATAAAGAATTCAAGACTATAATTTCATACATGATTAGTGATGGGTAGGGGTTGGGAGAAAAATCTGTTTTGAACGATATTTCTGTCAGATCCCGGTTAACAGGTTTAATGTGGGAGGAAATGACAAACTACTGCCGTAAGTTGATGTTAGCCATTTTGATGAAACCCCTGGAACATGGTATGATGCCGGCAAATCAAGGATCATATTCAGGTGACTGAGACTGAAACCCATGATCACCAGATCCTGGCAGCAAAGGGACAGAACTCTGCACAACGGTTGTGGAGTCTTAGACTTCTGGGCTGTCTGTACAATGACAGTATCACGATAAGGCAATTAAAGTTAGGGTCTGTTATGATCCATTAATTTCGTTCACACGATGGTCTTACCTTAAGACCTATGAAAATATGTTAACAAATTTGAGTAATGAAAAACACTGGGTTCTATACGACCAAGCAAACACTGACGCCTACACTTCAATGTATTTGTCCCATGATTCTCACTTTAAAAAAACACACCAAAACCCACAAAAAAAACACCCTAAACAAAACAATCAAAAGAAGCACCTCAAAATATGGTGTGCAATGAGAATTATTGCTGAAGATTTACTTAACATTATTAAATGCTGTATACTTTCCATTCAGACCAACTTCGTGGTCTAGTGGTAGAGCGGAAGGTCCGGGGTTCGAACCCCGGCAGTGTCATACCAAAAGAGGTTAAAAGATGCTACCTGTTGTTACCCTGTCTGGAGCTCGGCATTAAGGGGCTAAAACAAGGACTGGTCGGCTCAGAGTCAGTATACTGTGTCTGAGTGGGGTATTCATGTTAAACTGCGGCATGGTATCTCAGTGAGCTAGCACTATAAATCGACATCAGTCCGGTCTAGTACAAGCAGCCACACACACACGTGCATGCACGTCACTATATAAGTGCAATAATCTTGGACGCGACGTTAAACCCATTTCACCTCACCTTCAATTCAGCTCAGACTGACTAATTTTACTAATAATAACAATCTGCTAAGTTTAAAAAATACTGGTATTCTACCTTTAGTTTGGTATTTAACTTATCCACATTTTTCAGCTAGCAAGCTTAGTTGTATCAATATGGAACAGAAGTATTAGAATCAGCAGCACTAATATCAATATACGTACTTCAAAGAAAGCTATTAGTGTGAGGTATAAAACAACATGTTGCCCTCCTTGTCTCCTGTAATAATGGAATGATAAACAAAAACGAGTTACTACATTTTTTTACCAGTATGTCTTCTATTTCTGATATCAGATTTAGTCAAAGGTACAAAAAGATTCAAAAGGTTTTGTTTCATTTCCAAATGGACTTGAGGAATATATAAATTGCATGTGAAGATTTCTATTTATTTATCTTGGGCTAAACTAATGTCAGGCAGAAAGCTTTAACATAAATGTCAGACTCATTATACAGAGTTTCAATATAAGAAATTCTTATAAGTAAAGTACACCTGACAATACATTCTCTGACAATGATTGAGAGCATATTTACCAAAGAAGATGAAAACAGTGGCACTGGAATCTACATGATTTTATACCATTTAATCCCTTCCTAAAGCAGAATGTAGGACATCACATTTAAAAAAAAAAAAAAAAAAAAATTAAATTCTTTATTCCCGAAAAAGGATGCCATCCTTAGAGCAACAGAACAGATATGTTAGAAAAAAAGCCTCAAAATGGCTTCATTGAAATACTGCTACAAAAACAGTACGTCAGATGACAGATTCCACTAGAGGAAATTCTAAAACATCCTGGTTCCTGACAATGAATGTAATGCCACTGTACAGCCAAATAC